ACACCAAAAGAAGAGATGATGAGACCAAAAAAAGGGGAACATGAGGCTGCATAAGACAAAGAGACTTTTACACTGCAAAATAAACAATTACCAGAACTAAATATAACCAATGGAAATGAAGGAAGTATTTGCAAACTGTCTTACTTTTTTTATCATCGAAATACAACACCTGCAACTTAGAAGCAGAGGTTTATCTGGGCTCGTGGAGGTTTCAGTCCATAGTCGGCCAGCTCCAAGGCAGGACTGCTTGTAGAAGGCCCTGGATGGAAGTCAGCTTCTCAGGTCATAGCGGCCAGGAGGCAGAGAGAAGGGGAAGCATGGGAAGCTGCACACACACACACACACACACACACACACACACACACACATCCCGTGACCTGCCTCTGACCAGTCTCCACCTCCTAACAGCAAGTCCGCCATGGCCCAGTAACCCAGTCACTCCCACAAGCTCTGGCTCTGAGGATGTGAGGCTTTGGGAGAATATCCCACATGCAAATACAGCACAAACCTGTATTTGATAAGGAGTTGGTATACAAAATACATAAGAATTCCTAAACACAATGAGGTATAACTTCCTACATGTTAGGATGACCATTTAAAACAATAAGAAATAACAAGTGACAGAGAGAAAGTGAAGAAACCAGAAGCATTGTGCAGTGTTGGTGGGAATATAAAATCATGCAGCCACAGTGAAAAGCTGTCAAGAAGCTTCTCAAATTTTTAAAAGTAGTGATGCCATATAATCCAGCAATTACAGTTCTGAGTATTCATCCAAAAGCATTCAGCTCAGGACCTCAGATAGGTATCTTACATGTTCATGTTCATCACAGCATTATTCATCAGAGCCAGTGGAGCCAGGCATGGGCCACAGCAAGACCCTATCTCAAAAAATTAAATGCCAACAGACAGAAATAACCAACTAGAGCACCAACAGATAAGTAGATAAAGCAATGGGATACATATATATACCACAGCTGTTATGGTTATAGTAAGAATGTCCCCCAGAAGTCTCACGTGTTTGGAAGGTGACTGCACCACATCTTTCCATGAGTTCATCGTTAACGAACTCGGTAACTGAATGTGCTACTAGGAGTTGGGGTGTGGTTGAAGGCGGTCTGTGTGGGGGGTGCCAGGAACAGTGCATTCTTGTCCTTGGCTCCTCCCTTCTCTCGTCCCTGAATTCCATGAGTTGAGCAGCTTTCCTCCGCTGGCCCCTCTGCCATCCTGTGTCTGCCTTGGAGCCAGCAGATGGTGGAATTAAGCAGTGAGCCAAAACAAACCTTTTTAAATTGTGGGTGTTGGGTTATTTTGTCAGTGACAGGAAAGTAACTAAGATGATGATGTACTATTCGGGCTTCCAAAAGAAGATAATTCTTCTTTCATTTGCTACAACATGGATGAACTGTCAGGGCACCGTGCAAAGGGAAATAGGCAGGCATGGAAGAACAAAAGCCGCACACATCCACTCACATGAGGATTCTAGGGCACCGAAGCAAAAAGGAGAGCAGGGCCTTCAGAAGCTGCTCAATGACAGAGTCACGGTCATGCAGGATGAGAGGGCTCCAGAGATTTGCTTGTACAGCAGTGTGCAACAGCGGTCAGCACTGCCACACGCTTGGATTTACTGAGGTTAGATTCCCTGCTACAGGTTCTACTGCAGGCTTTAAAACTGGAAAAAATGTGCTTACTCATTTAGAAAGATATAAAATGGCACAAGCATATGAAAAGATGTTCAACCTCACTCATCATTAGAAAAATGAATCTCTAGTACACTGACGTACCATTTCCTACATAAGAAGCAAGAAACTTGCAGAGTAAAAATGATAATAACACCATCTGATGGCAAGGCTGGGAGGAAACATACTCCTGTACGTTGCTAATGGAAAGGAAGACTGAGCGAAATTCCACTTTGGCACACGTAAGTCTCGCATTGTGGAGGAGAATCTAGCAGCATCTAATATAACTATGCACACATCCACGTTGGAACCCCAAATCTCCCCTCTCAGAAATGACCTTGAAGATACACCTGCAGCTACAGGAAAGTTCATATATATTCGTGGTTACTTCTGAAGCATGGTTTGTAATTGCAAAATACTGGAAACTACCTCAATCCACATGCATAGAAGAGATGAATAGCTGTGCTATGAAACAAGGGACTAAGAAGCATTCTTTGAATTCGCATGGAATGATTTGGAGACTATGCTTTTAAAAGGGGAAAGACAGAGCTAATTTTATAGGAAGAACTGCAGGAGGGATAAACCAGATATGAATGGGGTTAGTGATTGCTAGATTCTGAGTGGGAATGGATGAGAAGACAGGAAAAGAGAGTAAGAGATATACTCCAGAGCATGCTGAGGAAGTTCTGACATTTACTCCATACCAATGCTTCACGTATCAAAAACAAACAACTAGACAAAGAAGGGGCTAAGGGAGCCCCAAATGGGATAGAAACAAAACAAATGAAGTTAATGGTAATAATATAACCACACTGAAAGAGCGGGGTGGTGGTGGGGACTAACCTGAATAACTTTAGGAAACAAAATTTTACTCTAACCTTAAAGACAGAATTGTACACAAATAAGATCCTCTAGTTAGCATATTTGCTTTTCATTTAGAGAAAGGTAAGTAATTCTGAAACTGGTTTATGTGTACTCCTAAATAAGCAGATAGCGTGAATGGTGACAGTCAAGCTGCCCACTTGGAGGAAACAATGAAAATAAATCAAAAGAACACAGGAGCCGAACTGTGAGACTCCCAGTAGCCAGGTCTCCGGCCATAGGCATAAGAAAATAATTAATGCTAGTAACTGATCATACATACCACATGATAAAATAAGAATCCATGTGTCCACACTGATACAATAATTAATTTAGTTAATTAATTATGGAGAAGGGAAATTTCTTTCTTTCAATACAATTTCAACTAAGCAACATGCAGGGGATGATGGGAATTGAAATTTTCTATTTGGCAAACAGTACAGTAAAAAAATTTTCAACCAAGAATCATTAGTCAATGCCAAAGTTGGTAAGTAAAGGTATACTGGTGTCATTTTTAAGTATCTCTCCATACAATGATTATTGAATGCAAAGAGGAAAACCTTAATTTTACAGTGCAGAAGTCTGGCAAGCCCTGCCCACCCCAGGGCTCATGTGTGGCATCGCCAGCAACGGGCAAACTGACCGCAAAGCCTGTGCACCGGCGCAGCAAGTCTGCTGTGGAGTTCTCAGAAGAATGACGACCTGGATTTCACCCAAATTGAAGCACATTCTCAAAACTACTGTTCAGTATTCTTCAAAAGCACCAACAGCATAAAAAGAAAAGGCTAAGACACTGTTCCAAATTAAGGAGATCAAGAAAACATGACAGTGGAAGGATCCCCTTCCACGTGATTCTGAACTGACTGCTGACCCAGAAACAAAGGGCATTAGCAGAACAATTGGTGAAATGTGAGTCAGATAGTAGTGTTTCTGTCTATGTTAATTTCCAGTTTTGATTATTGTACTGTGATTATATAACAATCTGGGTAAAGGCATGTAAGAAATCCTTGCAATATTTGTACAACTTTTTAAGCCCTGAACATACTCATACTTCAAATATCTTTAAGTTAATTTTTTGCAAATTTTCAACACCTGGTTTTACCAGCCCTAAAGGTTTTCACTCACTTTATGTTAAAGGGGTATTGACGGGCAGGAGTTAAGAAAGGGTTTGTGTGCAGGAAGGAGCTCCTGTGTTGTACGTCCCCCAAGAGGGACAAGAAAGAAGCCCAGATCAGGTGAGCAGGCCTTGCTGGAGGTCACTCCAGGAGACAGGACTGTGCTCCACACCAGAGACAACACCTCTTGAACAGAGGCAGTGGGGTAGCAAAAGGGAGAGTCCCTGCTATCTGTGGAAGCAAAATAGTTGCTTGCTTTGTCTCAGTGGTTTGACAGAAGAATAGAATGCTGGGGGCGAGATATAGAACCCATAAAAGGGATGTATCAGTAGTGATGCTACCTAGAGAGCTTCTGCCAGAGAGTGAGTTGTTTGATGCCAGAAGAAAAGAATCTCTTAGAGACTGAATGCCCAAGAGCCAGAGGTTTCATGGGAGAAAAGCAGCAGCCAGCCAAGGTACAGAGACTACATCGTGAAGCCCTGAGGAACATGGCAAGGGAATTTGGGGAAAATTTTAAAGACGGCTGGCAAGAGAACGTGACTGCTGCCAGCACCCGCCAGGCCAGAGTGCAGAGCACTCACACAGCCTCAGAACCTTCTGGCCCCATCTGGCTCTGTGTCTGCCTCCCTGCACTGAGCCATGAGAGAAGCAGCCCTAACTGGGTCTGGGGAGGTGTTTTAACTCTAATCAAGTTCCAAGTTTTGATTATTACATGATAATGGGCATTTAGTAATCAACTTTGCTGATTTCCTGAGTCAACAGATATAGGATGAGATCTGCAATGATTTCATCCAGAATGGAAGAAAATCTGTCCCCCTAAATAAAGTCCAAAGAGAGCATGAGATATAAAATGCCTCCCACAGTTATGCCTATTGGTCACAACGGCTAGGAGCCACCCACTGCTGAGTACAGGTCATGGCAAGCAGCCATTCTTTCCAACCATGGGGCAGGGGGAACCCTCGCTGACTTGAATACATCCTTCTCTTACATCAGGCCATCTTGATGATGCCTGTTGCACCCCATACCTATGGGGTACAGCTATGGGTGCAGTTTGAGCGCTTTCTGGAGTCATCTCTCGCACTACTGTACATCCACTGCTAAACCTCAAACTCACAGATTCCAGGCTTGACGGACCACAGATTCTTCCTTCTGGCTAGGTGTTGCCTGGGGAAGCGTCTCCCAAAGACAGAGGAAGAGAGCAGTGATCCCAGAAAACATGGAAGCGTGGGTGAAGGGAGAGGGTGCACATGCTAAGGAAGAAAAGGAACCTTCCAGGCTGGCTTCTGCATTAGCTTTCTACACAGCCCAACTACTCTGAGAACCGAGGCAGGAATAGCAAAGGACTCACAAGGGCAGGTCCAGCGGCAGCCACACGTCTCTTCCACTCGAATAGGGGACTGGTTGTTGGGGCATAAAGGCCTGGGCACCTGGTCACAGTTGACCCGGTGACTCTGCAGCAAGGTCTGGCCATCTGGCAGGCAAGTCACTGTATGGCACTGATCCGGCAAAGTCCAGACATCTCCAGGCTGCAAAAGAAAAACCAGATTCAGGAGGGCACAGGATGAAGCACTCCAGTGCCAAGCTAATCTACCCCCAACCAATCACCTCCACAGACACAGAGATGAGTGTTGGACACCAGCCTAAATGACAAGAAAGCTGTCCACAAGATAGGAAGCAGAATACAGAAGCTATATGTGGATTTCCCAGAACAGAATGGCAGTAGGCAGGTAAACTGGGCAAAGGCAATAGCAGGACTGAGACCAAAGGAGGAAAAATTATTCCCAAAAAAGTAATGAGGTCCTCAAACCCACATTTCTGAACTTTCTTTCAAAGTCAACAAAGAGGAACTTACCTTCTTCTCATTCCCAAGCTCATCCATGCAAATTCTAACAAACCCTGAAAGAGACACAAATAAGACCTCAATTCCTTCCCATCACTCAGAAACTCTGAACCATTCGTAATATCTGTTGGCCACCTGGTCTAGTCCTTGAAGTCACCTCAACTCTAAAAAAGAATCTGAGTGAGTTTCACAGTGGAGGCAAGGGGATCTATGGTTCACACACTATAACTCTTCAAACACAATTTGTGGCAACAGTAACTAACAATTATGATGACAACAGTGCACTTACGGGAACACATCTTTTCAGTCATACAGTCACTATCTCCTTTTATAGACAGGTCACTTTTAGAAAGATGTATGAAGCAAGATGCTGAAAACCTGGGATTATACCAGGATGGTGACCGCTAGGAAGGAAACGCAATGACTCTGGATGAGGTTTTAACTTAAGCTAATCATGTGAAGAAAATATAAGGTGTGGTTGAAAAAAAATGGTAAATGTTTAAATTTACATTGCCATTCATCCTCAAAACCTCCCTGTCACTCCCTCATTCTTGCCACTTTCTGAAGCAGTTCTAGAAGTTCTTTTTCATGTCTTTAGCTGTGCTCTCCTGCTGCCTTGGTGTCCTGAGTCAATTCAAAAAAACATGTATTTTTCATGGTCATTTCGAGTTTGGCAAAGAGTCAGAAGCTGAATGGTGCCATAGCTGGTGGATAAGGTGGTGAGGACACACTGCAATGTTTCACAAGCTTTTACTGTTGGATGGCACACAGCAGCACATTCGCCATGCCGTCCATCTAACCTCATAAAAACACTCACAAAAGAAGTGTTCCAGAACAGCTTCAGAAAGCAGCAAAAGGATGGGTCGAGTGTGTTTGATGTGAGGGGGAGTATTTTTGGGGGGAGATTAATACCAATATGCCTTTGGCTGTAATAAAATTTTTAACTTAAATATTTGCCGTATATTTTGGTCACCCTTATATAAAAAACCAGGCCAAACTAAATTATCTATTTTTTAAAGTTTTTAACCTAAAATCAAATTAACGTATGGTCCTGCGATGATAGATTTTCTCGTCATATTTCTAAAACCCCTATGGTCATGTCAAGAATGAGTATAGGACCATGCTTTCTGGAATGTTGGGGTTGCCTGCTATGTCTTCTGAGTCTTTTATCCAAGTCCTTTCTGCTGAAGTAGATAGTTCAAATGGAAGGAGGACTGTGAGCAGAGACTTCCTAGTAGATCTGGAGGTTTCTAGTATCTGGCTTCCACAGGCAGAAACCTAAAGGTCCTGATCTAAATGATTATTTTCAAGGTCCAACGTTATGCATGGGCAACATAGACTCTCTAGAATGGAATTTGTGTTTTTATAAAATTTTTTGGTTTGTTTTATGATTTTAGGATTTGCTTTGGCTTTACGGACTTTTGAGGGAGTGAAGAAATGTTAAAAGATTTACCTGAGCACACTTTGTGGAGAAAGGAGTTTCCCAGGCTGACCACAGTGGGGAGCTCTTGCACGCGCTGCAGCTTCACCACATTGGAGCTGGCCTCCGGACCCACCAAGGTCCTCAGCTGGCCTGGGTCATACCGATCCCCAATTCCAATGGGGATCACTGTCACTCCTAGAGTTAGCCAAGGAACAAGAGACAGTATGTGTTCAAGTCTGTCTGCAATGGGCTGACCTGACTGGCGCCCAAACTGGGCACACAGACCAACCCTCTGAGGCAGTCTTCAAATGGTAAAGAGCTCATACTGGGTGTCAGGCACCATTCCAAGCAATGGGCATAGAGCAGTGAACCAAGCAGAGAAAGTCCCTGTGCCCCATTCTCGTGCAGCTTACACTAGGGAGAGAAAGATAAGAAACAAAAAAGTTAGTAAGAATATTTCAGATGTGGTTAGGTGTTGGGGAAAACAAAAAGGAATAAGGAAAACTGGCTTTCCCAGGACTAGGGAATGGGTGATTGTTTCATTTGGTAGTTAGAGCAGTGTACAGTGAAAAGTTGGCATCTGGATAGAGACACGAAATGAGGACAAAAGAAGCCAAGAGGCCATCTGAGGTAGCGTCATTGCACACCTAGAGGACAATGAGTGTGAAGGCCCAGGACATGGACAGAAATGCATGCCCCAAGATACTAGAGCGGGGTGAGCCCAGAACAACCAAAGAAGGGGGAATTGATTGTGTATAGACTTGTAGGCCACAGTAAGGGCAGTCACTGTGACCTCTGAAGGAAACAGACTGGCACAGAGGAGTGACAGGGATAACTTTGATTTGTAAAGGGTCCCTCCAGCTTCTGTGTTGACAATGAACTGCAAGAGACAGGAATGGAAGCCAAGGTTCCAGTTAGACAGCTGTCATCAGAGATGAGATGGTGGGGGCTGGGAAGCGTATGATGGTGGTGGAGGGACATTCGGTGTGGTGGTCACTGGCTAGTGTGGGTCCTTGCTTCAGTGATAACAGAAATTAAAGGCAACCGCACAAATGGATAGCTCAAAGTTTAACTGGAATTTTTATTATAGAAAAGAATCAAAGTTGTCCATACTGCAGGCATCCTCTAGAAAGAAAAGTAGGCTGCTCCACCGAGGACCTCTAACAAAGGATGCATTTCATTTTTATAGGATCTTAAAGGCATATCATTAATTACTCATGGATTTTTTTTTAAAAGATCAGGGATCTTTGGGCAACTTGGAGTTTAGTTATTGCACATGCCTATGTTTGCATATAACCCAAAATGGGCTTTGAAAAGAATTATGCCCCTTCTCTGAGTAGAGATTTTATTATAGAAATGCACTGTTATGAAAGTATAATAAAGATTAGGTTCAGTTCTCAGTCAGGTCTGTCACCATAATTGCTTGTACCAATTCCACCCTGTTTGCTACACATTCAGCTTTCTTATCTCAAGGAAAAAGCAACTTTCTCATTTTATTGACAACCTGACTTTCTTTCCCCCCTCCTAGCAGCAGAAGTCACAGTTGCCTTCTTGCTTTTTCTTAGTTGCTATTTCAAAGTCATGCCAAGCCACTCCTATCTCACAAGCACACCACCTTAAAAAGGAGAGATGTAGAGGTGTGATTGCCCTGGACACAGAGGAAAATCACCAGTCAAATAAAGTTATCATCTATGGAATGAGGACAAGTATAGACATATATTTCTTATTGTTTGGTTTCCAAATTGTACAATGCTTGGACAACTAGCTGGTAATTGAAACCAGGCCTTATGAAAATGTATTTAAAATCAGGTGGAACACAAAAATAAGCCCTGCCACTTTATCCTGCTAGTATTCTAGAGGAGTCTTGGGCCTGCACACTGTACACTTACGATTGGATCTGGCAGCCTGAGCTGCAGCGTCCACCGAATCCACAGAGACATCCATGACTAGAATAACCACCACCTTAGAGGCTGCAGGCCTGGCACCATGGACTTCAGAGGTGATGTATCGCACAGCAAAGGCCAAAGCATCCCCTGAAAAAGAACAGGCCAAGTCAGTACTGACTTCAAGAATAGGTGTTTCTGAAGCAGCTGATCAATCCAGAATATAGCCAATCCTTGGGTCATTCAAAAGCTGAAAGATTCAGCTGAAAGACTCAGAAGAAAACAGTGGAATCTGGAAGAGACCAAAAAGGAACATCCAGCCCATTGTTTCACAGGAGCAGAAACTCAGGCAAAGAAGCAAAGTGACTGGTGAGGACATTCGGTCACTTTTCCCAAGAATCAGGGTTAAACGCAGGTCCCACATTCAGCCTGAGGCTTCAACATTACCCAGCTGGCTGGGGCCTCCCTCCTGCTGCATGAGGCCCACAAGATTCAATAAATGCTCCTTCTGCTGGGCTACGTTCCATGGCACATCGATGGTGGTGATGCTCCCATACTGGAGCACAGACACCTGCATGAGATGAGGGCCTAACAAGAAAGAAAAAATAGAAATTACTCACAGCCAAGTGGATCCCTTCCTTTGCAGGCTTCTCCAAGGGCTCTGCTCACCTATATTGGCCTTTGAAATGAAAGTCTTGGCAAAATTCTTCATTTCCTCAAAGTAAGAGGCCGGAATGCTGGAGGAGCCATCCAGGAGGAGAATCACATCCAGGGGTTGGCTGCAGTCTGCAAAGAGGATCAAGGTGTGCATACAGGTGCCTGCAGCTGGCTGGTCACCACCCCCAGCAGCTGCACACCAGGTATCAAGAGCACCACTGATGGCATGGCACCACAAGAGGAAGGGGTCATCATTGTCAAGATGGTACATGGGCCAGGGAAAAGGGAGGGGGAAATGTTCCCGAGTGAATAAGTATCCCAGGTTTGGAGGCATTGGAAAGCTCCACCCAAAATGAATTTAAATGCCTACAGATAAAAGCAGGAGTTACCCACTCCCTCAGCAACAGGAAGCTGCCATCCTTCCAGAAGTGACTGAAGTACTAGAGCACCAAAGTAAGATGTCAAAAAGAAATGGAACAGCAGCATCTCCCTGGAAACTGAGCTTGTTCTTTCTCAAGTATTCCAAGGTGGGTGAAGGCAACATGAGCAATTCCAAACACAAATGTGCCATGGCAGTGCCCATGTTAATGTTTGGTCACAGTCAAGATCACAGAGGAAGCAAGCTCTGACCTGAACACATTTTGAGTTTAGGCAGATGGTGCTATTACTATGTAACAGGGATTTAAATAAAATCTATGGATCTGATTTAAAGCTTAACAAAAAAGAATGTTAAGTGTGAGGGTCAAGATACATTAAAGGGAAGCAAGTTAATTCTGGGATGGTCCTAACTACACCACATAAGGGTATTCAAGAGCTAGGAATTGACTAGACACTAGTATCGATTAAGAAGACAATATGAATGGCAAGAAAAATAACAAAAATTTTTGAACATGTGTCCTATGCTGGAGTGGTATTAAGCATTTTGCTTAATACTATCCTGCATCCTACAGATGAGGAGTCTGATATACAAAGAGGTTAGGGACTTGCTTCAAATTATCCAGCTAGCAAGTGGCAGAGGTGAGAAAGCAAACTCCCTCCTGAGCTGGGTCACCTGACTTCCTGGCCTGACCCCAAAGACTGTCAGTTATATAAGTAAGTCTACTCCCTCAGTGTAGTCAAAAGGGAGCTAACAGTCACCAAAATTAGTTTCAAGATGGAAAGAGGGATTGGTTAGTATGAGCGTTCATCCTGATATGTCTACTTTTTTGGATTAAGAAATGCCTAGCAGATTAGGAGAGCTACTGGGTGTGCCAGGGTGGGACACATAGTCCTTGTGTATTATACATGACCATTCACCCCTTCCTCTCTGGAACTCTCCCCCTGCTCTGCTTCATGCCAACACTAAGTAAGCAACTTTGCTCTGCAGCACTCTTCCACCATGAGGTCTCTGGGCCTACTGACCAAGGACTGAGTCTCCCACTGACCATGGACTGTGAGTCAAATGAAACCTTTTCTCCTTTAAGTGTCACAGCAACAAGAAGGCTCACTAAAGCAGGTGGAGAAGGGATGGGTGATAAAGTAATCATTGCACTTTTCACTCCTTCATATTGTTTAGATTTTAACAATAGAATTACATTAGTTGTAAACTTACAAGAATAAATAAAAGACCCTCCACTAAAAAGGGTCATGATGAAGCTCCCTGCTTGGGAGGTAAGGAAACACAGGCACGCTGAGACAGGGGCTTAGCCAAGTGACAGAGTAGTAAAACTGGGATTAGAATCCAAGGTCACATCATGGATAGATGCAGGCAGCACCAAGGGTGCCCTGACCCCTCCCTCCCGTACATGGGTCCTTCATACCTGGGGCAGGGTGGAGGGTAGGGAGCTGCACTGTGTTTCCTGAGCAGCACCTCTGCAGCACCAGGTCAGGAGCCTCTCGCGGGAGCATCTCAAAGTCCTTGATGAAGATGGGGGTGCTGGGCCAGCTGATAGTCTGCAGCTCCTGCACATTGGCACCAGGGCCCACTCCAATGGGCACCACCTGGATATCTCCAGGCAATCGCTTGATCTCATCGGAAGCAGGATTTCCTGTGACCATGTAAACCAGATTTGGCGCCTGCTCCCGATCACCCTGGCCTACAGAGAAGCTGTGCTCAGACACGTACTGCAGGGCCAGCCCAGTGTTGGTCTGGTTGCCACCCCGGAACTGGATTTCTCGCACATGCTGCAGCACATCCCCCTTGGACTGGGCCTCACGGAAGGTATACTCCACGGTCACCGTGTATGAGTATTGCAGGACCGTGACGTGAATGCCGTCCTGGCTCACATCCATGCGCTGGATCACTTCTGCCATGAACTCCTTGCTCCTGTTGAAGTTGGCTTCTCCAACTTTGTCTGAGCCCTCCAGGACAAATACCACATCCAGAACCATGGACTTTCTCTCTGGTCCTGGGGTCAAAACCTCTGAGACCCCTGGACCCACAGTGACCTGTGCCACCTGGGTGTGCTGAGTCGGGGGAGGGGCCTCAGGTGCATGGTCACAGAGGTAGTTGATAATCTCATCCCTCCGCTGCTCCAGCTCATCCACGCCACTAAGCAAGAAGGCCTTGTTTTGTCGGGCCTGCTTCTCAATGAGACGGATCTGTTGGAGGTTGACATGTGGCCCAATGCCCACTGGCATCAGGATAACCTTTTTCTTCTTCAGGTTCTGAACAATGCGGAACAAATTCCGGGCCATCTCTTTGGGCTCTGAACTGGCAGTCAGGAGTAGCACAATGCGGGAGGCTTCAGGGCGATCAATTTTGCCAAAAATCTGGAAGAGCGTGTACTTCAAGACCTCACTGGTGGATGCCACCTGGCTGCCCACGTACTTCACCTGGCCTGCAATGCGCCGCAGCTCTGAGGGCCGCTTCCGGGCTTTGAGCTCAAGGTAAGCATGGGAGCCATCGTGGTACTCCACCACGGCCACCCGGATCCGCTTCTGGGAGATGTGCAGCCGCTCCATCACGCTTACCACAAAGGTCTTCAGCACCTCAAAATCTGCCTCCGACAGCTTGGAGGAGCCGTCCAGCAGGAAGACCAGATCTAGCAGTTTGCTGCAATATAAGTCATGCATGGGCAGCTCCGTAATGTCTTCCAGGTACGGCGTGGTCGCACTAAGTGGGGCCTCTGTAGGGGGCACCACCAAGCCTCCAGGCTGCTGGCAGGTTTCACAGGTAAGGTTGGCACCATCACAGTGACTATGGCAGAGGGAGAAAATACCAAAGTGATTCAGGAAAAAGCTATGTGCCCTTCACAACCCACAATGAAAACATTGCCATAAAACTGCCTGCTGACCACCGGAAAATTCCCCACTGGAGCGAGCGAGATGTTATTTTTAGCCCCCATACACACACACACACACACACACACACACACACACACACACACACACAGGTTTCTCTCAATTCTGGATGCCAAAACTTTGACCCATCGGAAGATCTCAACAAAGAATCTTTGCTGTTCTAGAATCTTTGTGCATCCACACAACCATTCAACTCTGATTTCTTTCCAACCTACACCTCTAGCCATGCTAATATTTAATTAAAATGTAAATCCTCCAAGTGTCTCCAAGGACAAATACTGCTCTACATGCTGATCTTGATCAGGATTTGTTAAGTGTCCTATTATTGAAGATAAATGGTTGACAGTATTAATTTAACAGAATTTGATAGGCTGGGCCTCAAGGAAAAGAACAAAAACATTTTGGAGTGATGAATAAAAAACTCAAGGTCCTAGGTTTATTTGGTAGAAGACAATATTTAGGAAGAATCAACTAGTCTCTCAGATGTCAAGCCCAGGAAAGGACAGCAGCTCATCTGTTCACTCCTCCTATAGGCAGGTGGAGGGGTCTGGTAGTGCAAGGCCCACACATCTGTGTAAAAGCCACCGCCTCATTCACAAACTGCTACACTACCAGGAAAATTGGCAGCTTCTTCTGGTCACCTCACCCTTTTCCCAGGGTCTTGAAGGTGGCCAGGCATGTCAGGCCACTGGTAAAATCAAGTATCCCTGTGCCAGGGACTCATGCCTGCTGGAATCGTCTCCTTTCTACATGCTTAGCCTCCAAGCAACTTTCCTTCAACTCTCGCATCAAAGCTGTGGAGCCAGCAGTGTCCCATGCACCAAGAAGTGTCCCTCTGTGGCATGACCATTAGGCAATGTCCCCCACCTGCTGCAGAACTGATATCCACCTTGTCTGATTCCACAGCATGTACTGTGTAGCTGCCCTTCCCGGTGCTGATAGGCAGTGAGAAGAGGGTTCTAAGCTCTGAGCTCCCAGCCAGCACTGACCTCAGCCCTCGCTTGAGCCTTCCTCCTTACATCTCAGTGTCAGCACAGGGAGGGAGGGTGGGCAGGCATGGTCCTACTGGGAAGTTAATGCTTACTTCCTCATGCTCCCCACAATTTATTGCCTCAATCCTTAGTTAACAGTGTGTGAGTGACATACTTTCTAGTTTCCTGTATTTGCTAGAAAATTCCCCTGGGCAGCTTTAGCTCTTGTTTGTACAGATGGTGGTGGCAGGATCTGATTCTGGCAGCTGTGGCCATAGCCCCCTCCCCAGTGAGCTGAAGTTCTCAAGTTTAAGCTCCCCTAAGGCTTGATCGGTGTCAGGGAGTGGTGTTGAACATATCAGCATGTTAATAAATGTTCCCCACTTCTGGGCAAGACTTCAAAGGCACAGTGCTTGCCTGAAAAGGCTCCTGCCCACCTCACCAAAGGCCAGTTTCTTGGGGTCAATTCCAGTGAGAGCCCTGAGTGACAGCAGTGAATGTCTTCCCTCCCAGTCACAGAAGCTGTGCCCTGTGACCTGGACTATGGTCCTGAGATGTCCATGTCATACCAAGGGGTCAGGGATTCCATCTCAATTTCCTCCCCATCCCTCACCTCCTTAAAAAAAAAAAAAAAAAAAAAAAAAAAACAGCTTTTATAAATTTCCATCCTCAGACTAGACAAATGGAAATGCTAATTCCCCTGCCCCTGACTTGATTCGATGTGTTAAGATACTACAAAAAGTATTGAGAGAGAAATACTCTGTCTTCCACCAAAAAAGGTAAAAACTTTTTAGAGGAAAACATTTTTTTCAAAATATTTCAATATTTTGAGGGGAACCAATCTAGTTTGCTCTCTGAAGAATAGAAGAAACTAGAAACATGCTAAGCAATAAACTGATCTAACAAAGTGTCTGCTCACCCAGCTAAGAGGTTTCATCCCAAACTTGTGAGCTGTTCTCAGGAATATGGTAACACTCACCAGTGCAGACAGCCGGCAACTACTTACCAAGTCTGGCAGAGTGCAGGGTCATCGGGGTTCAAGGTGACCTTCCTTCCGGGGGCAAGGCGCCGGCCAGCCACCTCACACACAGAGCAATCGTGGGGGTCAACGCAGGTCTGCAGAAGTTCATCCAGGATTTTTCCTGCACAACGCACCTCTCATTAGGACAGAATGTCCACCGTCCCCATCAGGAAGGCTCCTTTGTCACTAATGTGAACAGTACCATCCCTAAAGCCTAAAGCCACCTCCTGGGTGGTCAGCTCACTATCCTTCCTCTTTCACACCTTGATTTATCCCTCTGCAAAGCTGGCTGGGGGGTTCCTTCTCTGTGTCTGAGTTCCTCCAAGCTTTACAGAATGGTTTCAATAACTTTTGAGTTTTGCCGTCCAGTCTGACAGCCACTAACAAAACACACTCATGAATAAAAAAAATTTTTTTGTCTTTTTTGAGATGGGGTCTCGCTATGCAGTTCAGGCTGGCCTTGAGCTCACTTTGTAGCCCAGGCTGGTCTCAAATTTGCAACGATCCTCCCACCTCAGCCTCCTGAGTGCTGGGATTACAGGCGTGAGCCACCATGCCCAGCTACTAAAATTTAAATTAAGAAAAACTCAGTTCTTTAGGCATACTAGCCACCCCCAGTTAGCACATTTCCCCCACTGCAGAAAGTACTGCTCTGTGTGATAAACTCATGCACAGGCCCACAAAAGCATGGCAGAGGAAGCAGTAAGCGTGCAGCTCAGTGGCTGAGCTCATGCTGAGCATGTGCAACAGCCTGGGTTTTACACATACACACACACACACACACACACAGAGTAGTATCTGTTAGGAACTTCTCTTGGTAAAACTCAGAGCTGGCCCAGTTTTGATGAAGTGACTCAAGGAAGCAGAGGACTAGGAACAGGGAGCAGGAGCCAGAGGTGCCCAGGCCACCAGGGACGGGCCTCACCTGGTGGGCAGTGTGCGTGGCAGCCCTCCACGCACCGCACAGGGCAGGCCAGTGGCTCCGGGTGCTGGCACGTGATAGGACAGGCAGGTGCACAGCTATTATAGCGCCACTCACACTCATGCTCGCTGTCCTGAAGATTCCTCTCCTCGCAGCTCTGGGCTGTGCAAACAGAAGAAAAGGCCATGACTCCAAAAGCAACAGGCAACCACAGGAGTGGGTACAGAGAGAGGTGGCAATCATATTGGGGAACTAAGGGGTCACCCATATAATCATGACTTCTGGATTTGTTAAGCATCCAAGCCAGGAACATCATGGTCTAGATTTGTTTTCTACATAAAAACATGAAGTCACAGGTACCCAAGAAAGCAAGACTCCATATAAATGTACACATTTGTACCAGCAATTATGGTCATGTCTAGGACATACATTACTTGCTCACTTCATGAGTGAGACCCCTTTTCTTCTTCCAGAACTCTCCAGAAGCAAAGTCCCACAGGCCATCCTGAAGCCAGGTTCCTCCTCACCCAGAGTGTGAACTCCTCACTCGGTGTCCCAGTCCTCTCTGGCCCTCAGGGCAGCCATTCACATGCTAGAGCCCTGCCTCCTCATGCAGGTGCCCAGCACCCATGGGTCTCCAGGTCTGAATGGGCACAGGGTGAGGAGGCTGTCTGAGGCCTCAGGGGCACCAGGACTCACGGCACAGTGTGGCTGTCCTCCAGCTCACCACCTTGCCCTGTTGGGCACATGCATGGGCGTAGGCAGCGATGGTGTCACAGAAGCAGGCACAGTCCCCAATGGACTCACAGGAGCAGGTGTCGTAAATGCACATGTCCAGATAAGGCTCAGGGTCCACCTGTAAAGGAGCCTCAGGTTACCTGGGCCTTGGGGGGTCTGTTCTGGGGGTCAGTAGAAGGACAAGGGCTCTTCAGGTTGGAGATGGGTACAGTGCCCTCAAAAGGAAATGGATAAAAGGGCAAGACTCCTAGTTTCTTACCTAGAGTGCAGCAAGAAATGTTGACTAAAACAAAGTTGCCAGCCTGTCATAGCACGTGATGTGCCTGAGAATTCCAGAAAAGCATTCCCTGTGTCCATCTTCTACCAGCCTACCAGTCACCTGTACGTGACCCATGGCTGTTAGGGTTTTCACAAAAGCTGGTCACTCTCTTCTGGCCTCAGTGTAGCAAAATCAGTGGGAAAACATCAGGACCCACTCAAGTCGTCTCACCAGGCAGCTATAGGGCAAGCGTGTTGGGAGGTCGGACCCAAGGGGACTTTCCAAGCTCTGACCCCAGCTCTACTAAACACCCTGGGCTCTTTGAGGGCAGCTGTGATGGAAATTAATTCACTCTTTAAGCAGATCATTGTCCTTAATAATTCCCGAGGCCCCACTTGCCCTGGCCCTCTTTCAACTCAGATGCCACCAGGCCAGAGAATCCTAACTGCCCTTTAAAAACCTAAACACCACTGAAGGTAAGGCCAGAAAAGTTTCTGTGAGAAGAGAAGGAGGCACTAATGGGATTGTTTTTGTTTGTTTATTAGTTCATCGATGAGGGATGATTGGAGGATTCTTAGGTCTGGAGACCCAGAGCAATAACAGGCAAAGCAGGTCCTTGTCTCTAGTGTGAGACAAGAAAATGCAACAACTCTAAGATCGAGGTCAAAGGAGAAGTGTGGGCAGATGCCACTTCCCGTACAGAAGGAGCGCTCTCCCTCAGAAGAAGCGCTCTCCCTCAGAAGGTGCTGACTTTCTCTCTGCTTCCCAGCCACAGGAAGGACCGCAGCATCATCTGAATGGGGGTCCTGTCAGGGCTCCAGAGTCAGTCGTGTGCACAGGAGAACCTCAGAACCCAGCTGTCATGGGCCAGCCCTTCCACCCACCCTCCCTCCTTCCACAAGGCTCTTACCAGCTTGTTGCAGTCCTGGAAAATGTCACTGGTGAGGATCCTGCAGGAGGAATCCACCATGGTCTGCTTCACGATGTTGTTATGGCAGGTGGCAGGGGACACATCCAGCACCACCTGGGGACAGAGAAGAGTGCACAGATACATCAACATCAGGCTGGGAAACTAGGGGGACATAGAAGGGTACCAGAGACGCTGTTCCCAGGTTGCCACCACCTGCAGTTCCCGCTGCCCACTTCCCACCTTCCAACTTTGGGAGATGGGGAATATTCTGAGAGACAGCCTCTTGGGCTCCATCTGCACAGACCCCAGAAGTACCTTGCTGGTGTCAGCGCACTGCGGGCTCACTTTCCAGGAGTTCCCAAAGTCCACAGGGTTCTCCTCCACTTGGAGGTTGCTGCTGGTGAGGTCGTTGTTCTGGATGCCATCAAAATTCCCACAGAGGCCACACACTTGCTCCTGGATCAGCACATTGAGAGCACACACACACACAATACTTGACATATGCCCAGAACCAAGTAAGGTATCACTAGAAGTAACTGAGTATTGCTCATCAGTGGGGTGAACCATCACAGGAAGCAAACACCGTGCAGGCTCCCCAACCCATACGAGCTAACAATATGTAGCATCCTCAGAGACACTACGAAGACTAATCCTACCAAGCCTAATCAGCCACCAGAGTCACATGCACACAATGTAGAGAAACTAACAAACCCTCAACAAACTGTCAGACCCTGGGTAAATGCTATCCCCTGTCCCTGTAGACTTATAAATAGCTGTCAAGAAATCCTGGTCTATGGCTATATGGTCAGGCAACACTACTTTGTAGTATTATAATCACACTGTTCATGATCAATTTGCCTTAAAGAAGGCAATATTGCCTAATCTTCTGCTTCTTTCCTCTATGCAGATAAACTTTGTGCCAGGCAAGAACACCAAGAGGGCAGCCTTGTTCCTGTCCACATGCAGCAGCCCTGGGGCAGCCATGATCACCCTGACTTTGTAGTTCATGGTGAGGGAGGGGGTGGCCAGGAGCAGCACCTCGCCCCAAGACAGAGGAGCCGGTGAAGGTCCAGACAAGACAAAGCTACAGAGGCCACAGACCTGGAACGTCTGCTTCAGCACCACGGAGATGACCAGGCGTCGGTCCCAGACCACAGAGAGGGCTCTGCCCAGCAGCAGGATGAAGAACCGGCCTGACTCCACCACCTCGAAGTGCGTCTCATCCTTCATGGGCTTCTTCACATTCACCTGAGGGAAGACACGGCATGAAAATGGGGGAGGAGGCTCCAGATCACCCCTCTTGCCACACCCACCTGTCTCCACTGCACAGGTGCACACACGCAGCATGCCACCCGCCCAGAATCTGCACAGCCCTTGCCGGGTGCAGTCAGAGCTCTGTCCTTCTAGCCTGCACCACACTGGACATTTCTGTGTCCATCTCACCTACTGCTCTCCAAAAGCTGAAGGGGAAGAATAGAGGTCATAGCAAAAGCATAATTACAAGATTAAAAACACAACGAAGCCAACATCAGGTCACCATCACTTCACAGAAAGCAGGACCTTTTCTTCCCAGTTCTCAGGATGGAACCCAGAGGCCCTTGTTCACCAAGCTATTATTCCTCAGCCCCTTTCTCTTTATTTTCCTTCAAATATTGAAACAAGGTCTTCCTAAGGTGCCCAACTAGGACTCAAACTTGTGACCCTCCTGCCTCGGATTCCCTCAGTGCTGAATTGAGGGCTGTTTTGAACCTTGATCACCAACTGCAGTGGTCCCTAGGTAGGTTTTTGATGTGGCACTGGTTTTATGAACCTCTCATTAACATATTTTAAAATTTATCCCAATAAGCACTAGACACTCAGCTTCCTGCATCCCTGTACCTCCTTCTTTCCAAAGCCTCTGTCATCAGGAGTCAGGGTTAAAGGAAGAGGTGCCGGAGCTCAATGCTATTTGCAGTGGTTGCCGATTCATTTCAGACTCCAGCCAAGCCCTTGACCTTCAGATCATCGATAGAGCTAAACCCTCAAGACCTCTGACCTGCATGAGCAAGGCTCACACACAGAGCCATCTCCCGCTGCAGAGCTCCCTCCTGGGCAGCACTGTGTGCAAGCTGTTCACATGTACACATGTGCTCCTCACACATCTGCACATCACCTATCCATGTCACCACTGTCATTCATCCTAAATGAAGTGGCCTTTGAAAGGTGCCCACCCACAGTCAATCTTGCTTGCTAAACAGCTTTCTTCTGTGACGGCAGAGATGTCTCTGCACATACTCTTTGTCAGCAGGGGGTGTTTACAAGAAATCAGGTGCAGGCTGAGGCCACAAAACAAAATGAAGGTTCTGGACCCCAAAGCTTTGCAACTCCCTAGTACCACATGTGGCCAGACCAGCTGGACCAAAGCTGCACCCTGGGGGCAACTACCACTCTTAAATGCAGATTCCAGCCCCCACCCAGACCCACTGAGCCACCATCTCGGGGTGAAGCACCTCCTGTGCAACCTTCTGAGGACCATTTCTTAAGCTCTCAGTACACAGGATGAAATCTGATTTATTTCACTTCTGAGCTCTTAAAGATATTTATCTGAAAGATTGAGAATGCAGCTCAGTGGTAGAGTGTGTGTCTAGCTCTGTCATTATCCCCAGTACCACCAAAAATAAAGTGCGTCTGGGAAGAGCTGAAAAGATAAAGTAAACCAAAAATATATAAATATGCAATAATCCCCACTTATCTGTGGTTTCATTTGCTGCAGTTAACTGTGGCTAAACTAAGGTCTGAAAATATTAAATGGAAATTTCCATGGATAAATGATTTGTAAGTTTTATTACATAAAGTTTTACATCAATAAATGTTATAACCCAAGCACTCTGGGAGGCTGGAGCAGGACGGTCACAAATTGTAGCTCAGCTTAGGCAACTGAGCAACTTAGCAAGACCTTGTCTCAAAATAAAAAAGGACTGAGGATGTAGTTCAGTGCAAAGGCCCTAAATTCAATGCCCATACTACAAAAATATATACATAATCAGTTATATATGGTATTATATTATGTATTATATATCCCACTTTTTATTACATTATATTGTTACAATTCTATTTTTATTAATTATTATTATTATTCATAAGCAATAATCCATCAACTAAACTTTATCATAGATGTGTATGTATAGGAGCAATGGTAGAGGTAGGGTCTGGTACTATCTGCAGTGTTAGGTGTTCAACTTGGGGCCACGCCCCCGCATGAGAGGGACACCCTTATGCTCACCCAGCTCTTCCCACACCTGTGCAGACACAGTCACACACCTGCTGACAAGCATATCCACACTTTAACCAAAATGGGATGCTGCTGTCCATATTGACTGGTTGCTTGTTCTGCTCTCAGAATTATCATCAAGGCCAAGTGGTCAGCCCGGCTGCACCACTCCACTCACACGGTGCTCCATGAATGCCTAAGGAGTGCTCCCAGCAAGCCAAGTGCAGAACAGAGGGATGCAAGCATGGAGGCCACGAAGCTGCCTCTTACCTCCCCGTCAAACAGTTCGATCTCTCCTCCTTCCACCAGGATGGTGACACGCTTCTTGCATTCAGTGGAAGGATAGCTGCACCCCTCGTTCCCCACCAGGATCCGGAAGGTCCCAGGGTTCCCACCACAGTAGTCCTGGGGAGAGAGGGGCACCAAGAGAGGAGTATTACCCCTGCCTGCCTTTTCCACACCAGAAGATGGCACCTTGAACTCTCAGGTCCTGGGACACAGATTACAGGACACTGCCACATCTGCCTATGTGCACATCTGAATGTGTGAGTGTGTGTGTGTGTGTGTGTGAGTGTGTGTGTGTGTGTGTGTGTGTGTGTGCGTGCGTGCGTGTGTGTGTGTGTCTGTCTGTCTGTCTGTCTGTCTGTCTGTGAGTGAGTGTGTGTTGGGAGGGGTCCCATGTGAACTCCCACACTGTCCAAACTCAGCCAGGATGGAGGAGCCAGGCACCCAGGGTGTAGGGCACCACAGACAGTCAGGGACGGGAGGGAGATGCAGCGGTGGGTGGAGAGCAGCCCCATCTAGATCCCATTATGGAGCCGGTCAGGCAGCTCTAACATCTGGTTGACCCCTTATGGGTGACTGGCTCAGAAATATAACCAGAGAGGCTTGGACACAGCTCCTGGCCTTGAGCACCCCCTCTCCTAGGTACAGAAGACAAGGAACACTGGCCCTTGTTGGTCAAGGGCCTAAAAAATTAGGCAAAATGAGACACATTGCTGGCAAATAGTTCAGCTGTGGTGGCTACAGCTGTGGAACAAGGGAAGACAAATGGCTCAACCTGAAGCACTAGAGGACTCCTGGTGTTCATGTAAGGTAATGTTGGACACATCACTTGCCTCCATATCTCTCTCTCTCTCTCTCTCTCTCTCTCTCTCTCTCTCTCTCTCTTCTCTCTCTCTCACTCTCTCTGTCTCTCATACACACACACACATATACATACATATATACCATACACACACACACACATTTGTTTGTGTTTCTATCTAGCTGTCCCCCTAAAGCCTCATGCACTCCAGGTGAGGCTCTGGGGACGGGACTAGATCTTGAGTGTGCTGTACTCAGCGCAGACTGGTTATAGCCAGGTGTAACATTGGGCTGTGAAGCCTGGTGGGAAGAGGTGGGTCACTGTGGGTGTGGTGGGAGGGTGTACATATTCCTCCTCCTCCCTTGGTCCTGCTCTGCTTTCTGTCCATCATGCCCATTTCTCCTCTGCCATGTCCTGATCATCTACAAACTGTGAGCCAAAATGAACTTTAATTTGTGGGTGTCTGGTATTTTGTCCCAGCAACAAAGATATAACTAAGATACCCACACACCTATTACGCATCTACATATACACATACAAGTATAGATGCACATTTACACACACCCTGCACTTACATACAGGTGCACTTACACACACACACACACAATCCGCCCCTCACAGGCTCACTCAGTGAAATGGGTGTGGGCTGTCAGAGGCCATGGAGGTCAGCAGGAACAAGGGCACACGTGCTTTCCTTGTTCCGGTCTCCAGCAGGAAGGGAAAGAGCTAAGCCAGATGACACCCCCCAAAGGAAGGGGGCACAGGGAAGGGGCCCAGGAAAAGGCACCAGAAAAGGACAGTAACCCCGGTTGTAGGTAAGGACAACGAACAACCCACAAAGGGCATAGTTGGGTTGGTACCTGTGAAAAGAGACCACTGGGGGAAGTTTCTCGGGCCTGGGAAGAGGTAGAGAGCAGCTAAGCAAATGCTTCTTACTGCCTGAGAGCAGTGTTTCCAGGTTTGAACGGTTTGGTAGCTGTATATCTTGCTGCTGAGGCTGGGAGGCAGCCGGGTAGCCAGAGAGAAAGCAGCTTCCATGCACAACCTGGGAACTCTTTCTGAGCCACACGCTGTGGGCCTGCCAGTGCCCATGAAGCTGCCCCAAGGCTTTCCCAAAGCTCCTGCACCCTAGAGCTGGTGGGCTGTGGGTGTGGGCATAAACTCTGCATGCGAAGACCTCAGTCCCCGTGGGTCCCGCGGTTCCCTCTGTGGGCCTGGGCTCCTCTCTTCACACCACACCAGCTGCCCCCGTCCTGCCCCAGGGGCCTGGAGACAGAGACACCACATTGTCTAGTGTCTCGCCTCTCTTGCTGATCCATTTGCTGTCAAGCAGCAAGAGAAATTTACAAGAACCCAAAAGTGGGGAGTCAGAAGCCTAGTGCCCGCCCCTCGCTCACTAGCTGGGGTTTCCTGAGCAATTTCTCATCCTGTGTTGGGCAGAATGACTTTTCTGTGACCCCATCCTCTCCTCCTCCTCCTCATTCAGAGTCAGATCAGCTAAAAATGAGAATCCTGGAGAACGTGATGGGATCCCAGGGCCGGCCCCAAACTCCAGGAGTCCTCTTCACCGTCCTGGGGGCTGCATGTGGCCATTCCCCACAGGAGGTGCCGGGAGGGAGGATGTGGGGGCCACAACCTAGCCAGCTGCACACCCGAACTCTGCCTCTCGGTTAAGGTCATGTCTATGAAAGGAACAGAGTCTTTTTCTAACCCACATTAGAGCTGTTGTGGACTGAGGGTGGCCTTACACATACACAGATCCAAGTCAACAAAAGAGTTTCTGTCCTGTTCACAGAAGTCTGCAGGTGGACAGCAGGGAAATAGAGAGCCGCGCTGAGTTTCCAACTTCCTACCTCTCTGGACACCTCTTTCGGGGACTAGAAAATTACTCCAGTTAAACCAGACCCCAGAGTTTGTTCTACAGACAGAACCCGACCTGGAAACCCCCAAGTGAGGTCAGCAGCTCCCGTCTCCCCTTAGGCACAGACGGAGGGTCCCTGCACTCCTCCTCACCTGCGCCAGCACGTACTGGCACTCCCCGGGGAACATGTACTTGAGCCCGTCAAAGGTGAGGTAGTGGCTCATGCCGATAGCGGAGCACGTGGCGTCACACACGTGGTCGGTGCAGTTCCACTTCCGGTCCCCACAGACACTAGGAGGGAAATGTACGGAGAGCTAATCAGGCACGCTGGGCAGGGAAGGATCTAGAATGTTCCCAGGTGCCACCCAGGCCTCCAGATGCCTCAGGAACCCACAGCCCAGCCCAAAACTCAGTAGGAAAGACAAAAGCTATGCTGCTGCCCTCAGTTCTAAGAGGGAAACTGAGGCAAAGAAGGGAAAGAGGTGTCCAAGGTGATCTGGGCAGTTAGGGAAGAGGCCTGGACGCTCACTCGGTCACCTGCCATGGATCAGCCTCACCCTGGAAGCCACAAGTCTGCCTAGAACTGAGGGAAGAACTCCACGAGACCAACACAAATCTCTCCAGGCTAACAGAGAAACAAGACAGAGAAGCAGGAAAAGTCTGAGTCTGAAAAACAGCAATGAGCCACAAGCTTGTGCCGGGCTGGTCTGTGTGCGTAGCTATATATTTAAATCTATGGTGATTCACCGGTGGCCCAGGGCCTCTCCCCACCACACTGTCACTACAGCTGCCTTTGGAGGCCCACTCATGCATCAGAGGCAGGAAGCCCAGGCCTCAGGCGGCTCTTCCCCTGTCCATATGGGCATCTTCCAAAGGCTGCACACAGTTCAGAGGTCACAGGTGAGGAATGAGAGGCAACTTTGCCACATCCATCCTCATGCCGTGCCATGATGTGTACCCTGAGAACACCCCACAGGGATGGGTCCCCCTAGCCCTCTGTCCCCGCAGCAGCTTGGTCACCTATGCAATGGCCAACATGGGTCTGAGTCCTCTTGTTCCCCTTCTGTCTCCCTGAACAGAAATGCTAATTCATATAGCAGCATGTACACAGGGTGAGCACAGACATTACTAAAGATTCTCCCATTCCACAGATAGAGAAACAGAGGCATGGAGAAAAGGCACAAGCACCCAGTTTCCAGCAGATAGTCTGCCCCTCCACCAACTCCTCCCCCTCTTCCCTCTGCCCCCGCAGGGACCCCAGGCCTCACCAGGTGTTGCAGCCGACTTTCACTGTTTCTCCGGGGGCAAACTCCCTGCCCTGATGGAAGCAAGGACACCTTTCCAGGGCCACACACCTGTTTTCATGCCGGACCTGAGGGAAAGACCATAGGAACAGATCTGAAGCCCAGCACCAGAAACAGGACTGAGCTAAGGGACAACCTCAGCCACAGACTGGCCAGGACAGGGGCCACACCCAGGCTGGGGTTTGGCAAGCAGGGGCACTGTCTACACTGCCTCTGTCCCCCTGTACCCTGCCAGGCAGTGTAACCTGTGACAGATGTGTAAAGACACTTCTGAAAGCCACGTCAGGACACATGGAAGTGTGCAAATCCACAGATCCCACCTCCACACACAAAGCACGTCTGCAAAGGAAGCGGGGTAATGACATGCCTCGGGGAGGATTACTGCTGAGCAAAAAAATGGAAATGATCAAGTGTTCAGTGACGGGGAAATGATTAAGTCATCAAGGAATCCCCAGAGCTGGTGTCCTGTGGAGCTGTCAGAGCGGCCACTTGGAAAACTGCATGGCTCAAGAAATACTTACACCATTCATTTTTAAGACAGGGAGAAAACTGTATGGACATATGGTCCCGATTTTATACAAACGTACACAAATCCCAAAGACCAGAAGTTGCCTCTGGGTGATTGGCTGGGCTAAGGAAGTGTGGACATTTCACTTTCTTCTTCTTCTTTTTTTTTTAATTCTTTAAATATTCTCCAATAAGAGTATATCAAGCTTTTAATTAAAGGAAATGAACTCAATTTAATGACTGCACTTAACAACCAGGGGGTAAGACCAGAACACTGGTCAGAACTGGCTGAATTCTGTGGACAATCATTGAAACCTTGGGCTTGAAATGGAACCTGTGTCTCTGCCCTGGAGCAGGGCCTCTGGGACAGCAGAGAGCCACTAAGATAAAATTCACAGACATCATTTGGAGACTCCACAAGAAAACATCAGAAACACTCGACCCACTACCCATCACCTGGGGATTTCCTGAGCAAAGCTGAGAGCCCGAACCTCCGTCTAGGTCAGCTCCAGGAAGAATCAGAAAGTGGGCAAAAGCTGATTTTGTTACTGCCCTCCAAAATGGCACCATCCTCCCCACCATATATGAGCACCATCAGGACCTGGGCTCTGGTTCTGTTCTTTTCCTGGTGGTTGTTTTTTGTTTTTTCTAGCCTAATAGTTCTAGTCTTTCTAGAATTATCTAGGTTCAACCTCTAGAAACATCAAAAACAAACCAAAAAGCCTCAAAACTTTATGAATCCTTATAGAAAAATCACACTCTAATGTGAGGTGTCTAACCAGGTCACTTAAAAAATTACATCTCATGAGATTTCTAACGCCCCGTGTGAGGCCCACTCTGGATGGACCCCTGGGTCCAAGCTCTATAGTACCACTAGCTTCAAAGGGCAGGTGGGCACCACCAGACTGGCACAAGTACCCAGAGGCCTGAGTTACCACCCAGTGGCTGCCCCCAGGCTGAAGAGACTTGGAAGGCTAAAAGATGAGCGGTCTGGGAGCAGGAGTCCAGCACGTGCTTGACCTAGTTGTTCTCTTTTTCCCCTCTCTGTCTCTTCTGTGTGATGGGGGGTTGAAATGCTGGGTCCTGTGGCTTCCTCCCAGCTCTGCCACTGAGAGGACCCTAGAAAATGCAAGTTTAGGCAAGCGAGATGGGAGCAGGGTGGTGGGTTGTGTTTTGCTGCCACCTAGTGATATGAGATAGTACTGTCCTAGCTTGAAGGAATGGATGCTTCAGGCCAGATTTTTTAAACTAAAGAAAGTGACTTGGGGTGTGTATCTTGGTTGGCACCATCCCCTCTTTTTATTGACCCAATAGATGTCATAATGTGAACCCAAGTAAAACTTACTCCCAGTGTGGATAGCTAATTTCCTCCAGCATCTCTGTTCATATTATGCCTCACGAAATTTCCTTCCACAAGCTTATGGTGACAGTGGCCATAAAATCACCACCTTCCACCTTCCACCTGTCTGCCACGCTGTCATCCGCAGTCACCAAACCTTTCTAGTCCAATTTTTCAGGTGAGGAAATTAAGAGTCAGAGTTTAAGTGATTTGCCGTTCAGTTCAGTGTATGTCAGGAACCATGGCATTCCACACAAAATCTTTCCTCATGGCTCCTTCTGCAGCCATTTTTCATAGTGTTGCCACCTACTAAAAACATCCTACCCACCATTTCCAGGCAAGGAGACCTGTACAGCACTGGCAGGAGCAGAGGCAGCTTGCAGGGTGGACCAAAAAACCTCTGCTCTGTGCAGGTGCCAGGCCTGAAATAAATCAGAAAGAAAAGGTCCCCCTCCTTGCCCCAAATATTTTGAAACACATGCTTCTGGGCCTTGAAGGAGGAAAGGCCATCACTGGTCCAGGGCACTGCGACTGAAAGGGTGGGCTCTGGGCCTGGGCTGACCTGTGACGGTGTAACAGCCGAGGTATGCCAACTGGACAGATCAGTCTACTGGACAATCCCATCTAATGTACATGATAGAAATTGGAAGGCGCCTGTGCTTTGTATGTCACATTTTTTGTTTTACTTTTCTGATAATCCACTTTTGTTGTACTGGCACAAGTATTACATGGTTAGAAATTCAAGCAAAATGGCTTCTACTCAAATCTTGCTGGGGACAGCAGGAGGAGATGATCCGTGCAGCCTCTAAGTTTGAGCTTGGTTACAGTTAAATGTGTTGCACTGCTGTGATTCTGTAGCACCTTCTGGTTTGAAAAATGTTTTCAAAGGCATGCTTTTGGGATCTAAGCCAATGTTGGAGGGGAGAGGCACAGAGCAGGAGCCCTGTGCCTGGGTTACAGAGGAGGCAGCTGAGCTTCAGATGAAGAATCAAAGCTTGCACAGGAGCATGAACCAGACAGTGGTCAAGTTGGCCTGAATCTCGGCCACCAGGTCTGTCCTCCTCACTGTCTCGGTGCTTTCCAGAGAGCTGCCCCCAGGAGAAAGCAGCTTCCCTCCCACCTGCAAGTTCTCAAAACACAGAGTCCCTGTTCCTTTTCCAAACCCTTGGTAGCGTGCCACACCCCACTGAGGCAGGATTTAAAAAGGAAAAGAAGTTTCTCAAATTTCTCTCCCTCCCTACAGATGTTGTTCTTTGTTCTTATACAGACAAAAGCAGGAACTTTTGACCCTGTAAGACTTTATAAAGGCTGGGGATTTAGCTCAGCGGCATAAGTGCCTGCCTTGCAAGCATGCAGTCTTGAGTTTGATCTCCAATACAAAAGAAAAAAAAAACAACTTTATAATCTCCTGTTCCCATGATATTCTGTTATTCCCAAGTAGGAACACCAACATACAAAACTGCCACAGCCTGACAAACTGCTTTCTTTTTCTCCTTCAGCCCATCACAAGTTCTGCACTGAAAACCAATCCCCTTAGCAACATGTATAATATGGGAGTCCTTCCTTTGTTCAGTGCTCAGTTCTTTGGACACAAGTCCGAGTCAGGTGCACATTCAACAAATCCTCCTGATTCATCCACGTTCTCTCCAGTCTCTTGAAGTCTGCAACACTACCACCTCACACAGGGGACAGAGAAGCTCTCCTAGGGATAAGATCTGCACCATCAGATAGGTTCAAACAAGGTGCTTCCAGCTCCACTTTCTTTGTGTTCTGACCAGAAACATAGGTCTGTGCTACAGCCAGAACACTGCATGCATTTAATAAATTACACGGTCTTTTCTGCTCTGCCATGTCTGGCCTCAACAATTTGCACATGACTCAGTGAAACAGTTGTGAAAATAACCCATTGTCTTGAAAAATGAGCTTTCACATTTGCAAACCCCTGAAGTGGAGATGAAAACCCCTCATCGTGGGACAGGTGTGCCCCCAGAATGCAGGCCAGAGGTTCCAGGAAGCCAAAGGAGTGCTTGGTACACAACCGTACCCTGGTCTCCACTTGGGATTTGAGATCATAATGCAATTACTGTGGTTATTAATATGGATTGCTTCCTCCATGACAAAAAGAATTCATTTGAAGAGACTGTACTGACACAATCCCCTGCAAGAAGTCCCTTTTCTTGTGTGCATTGTCTGTGGTAGGGGATGCCACCACCACCACCACCCCCCGGTATAATGAAGGAACAAGGATCTAGGTCCTGTCAAAACTCTGAGACATTCATAGTAAGAGCCCTCTGGGATAAAAGAACAAAAAGCATACCTGCCCTATTTCTTGCCCCACCCAGGTCTGAGTTTCTTGTTCCAGTAGACCCTTTGTGGACAAAACTTTCTTCAAAGGTAAGAACTACCCCTTCCAGTCTGGGGTGCTCACTGGCTGATCCAGCTCCCCCACTAGAAAAGACAGCTCCAGAGCCCTCCAAGCCTAAGACAGAGGGATCACATAGAGGAGAAATGGTAAAGGCTGGTGTCTGTGTTTGGGAGAAGAAAGAGAGAGAGGAAGAATAAACAGACTATTTGGTCCCTATCCAATCCCCTCCCCAGCCCTCCTGAGGGACCCTGCCAACAATTCCAAGTCCCCTCTACAGAATGTTGACAGCTCCTGGGCCCCTCAAGCTGAGTCTCTGGTGTCATTAATTCCTCCCAAAGCCACATGAGAGCAGCCCTTCCCCTCCCACGCCACCTCTACAGCACTGATGCTTACCATCACTCTGGGTATCAAGGATTAGAATCAGAGAAATCAAGAAGATGCATTTTCAAGAAAAAAGTCAAAAGTTGCGTTCTTCAGGGTGATGACAATAATATCTGTATAATATATCTCCTACAAAACTGGCCTGAGATTATACTTGAGAGGGAGGCTGAGAGGCTTGGACACACTTGGGTCATGGCCACCAGCAGCAATTCTAAAAAAGGCACACAGGATCTGTGTCATTGCAAACCAGCATGACTTGGACATGGGCAGCTGTAACTGGACCTACAGGCTGGACCTGCAGGTGCTCAGTGGGTAGCTAAATGCAGGATGAAGCCTGGCATCTCTGCCTTCATTTTCCATGTCTCCCTTATTTCTTAAAACTCTGGGTCACTCTCTCCTCAGCTCTGCATGTACACATTAAACTCTCACAAAGTATCTGTATTACAAGGTTTGTCAAGTGCAGATCACTTTCCCTTGCTCGTGCCTGTTCCACACTGAGAGCACTAAGAGTGACTAAATCTTCAGGATTTGCAGGTCACCTAATTGCCTGCTTTCACAACATTCGGCTCCTAACCTGGGGAAAGGATGCCTAGAGTTGTCCTAAACCCATAATTACCTCGGTCCCAGGAAAAGCAGAGCCTCAAAGACCACCCCATGAGGAGGTCACCTCCCCCAAGCAGAAGCAACTGGCCCATAACAGAGCCAAGAGTGCCACTTCTTAAGCAAAAACAAACACTCATGGAAACCAAACTGCCCCTCAAGCCCTAGGGAGTCTCAGGAGCCCCCAAACCAGGACTGAAATGACCGCAGACCCCAGCCCACTACAATGTCCCATAAAACTGGTCCCACTCTTTGTGAATGGACCGATCTGAGCCTCTTCAGCAGAGTGTGCCCCCCCAGCCCCCACTTCTTTTTCTATTCCACCCAATAAATCACCTATGTCTCTCACTGATGTATCTTGAAATTCTTTTCTGGAACAAGAGTTGACAAACCTACTCCATGGGAGCAGGGGTGAGTTGAGGTCCCTGTCTTCTCCTTAGGGGACCTGCTTGGACCCTGTTGAATGATGTGACCTCCAGGCACATTTGCAGTTACAGCCCCAAAACATAAGACACAGACAGCTGGCCAAGACTTTGCACTTTACAGAGGAGTGAAACAAGGCTCCATGTGGGAAAGATTCTTAATATTTCACTAGTGGCACAGGAGAGACTCAATGCCTTCTCTTGAAATACAAAGTTATACATATATATGCAAATCATATGCAAATATGTATGTGTCCTATCTTCATATCCTCGAATGCAGCCTTCAGGAAGAGCCTAGTGGAAATGCTTGTTTTTACTTGTATTTTCTAGAAATACTTTCTGTACTTTCCATGGCTTTCTTGGGAGCCAAGAACTCATATTTTTGTCAGATCCCATGGGGATCAGCCCCAAACAGTTTTCTACCATCACCCTCTCTGACTTTGGGACTGACTGGGCTACTGAAGACTCGGACCACCACCCCAGTCTCATTTCTTCCTCTGGCTGGCCCCCCTAGAAGGAAAAGGAAAGGAGGTCCCCACGCGTAGGGGGAGGGGTAACTCACCATGCCCGGGGGGCAGAGGCAGCCAGAGACACAGCCAGTGCTCATGCAGTCCAGGTCATAGTTCTGGCATGTCTTGGCACACTCCACCCCTTCTGCCCTCGGGTTGTCAGCAGGACACACCAACTTGACCATGGGGGCCCGACAGAACAGGCTCCTTTTGCCTAGAAATTAGGAAAACCAAAGGGTGATTAACAACAGAGTGGCGGGGTCTCCCACCCTGGGAGTGGGTGTGTCCCGGCCTTCAGTGGGAGCAGGGTGGCAGCCTCATCTGCCCATGTGAGCTTCATCCTACATGCGGCAGCTGTCCCAACCCCAGCATTTGATGGACCCAGTTCTCATCCTTCTACTGCAGCAGCCTGCACCAAGCCAGAGTGCACTGCAAAACCTCCAGACAGCGCTTAAGAGATCTGGGTTTGGGTGCAGAAAAAAAGCGCCTTGGTGGAACGCAACAAAACCATTCCTATAATGACTACAACTTCCAAAGGAAGACAGGCCACGAAACCACAAAGACTTTCACCTGTCTCTGCTCCGCATCAGCCTCTGCCTGGCCGCACTGTTCACACTTGTAGCCTCTGTCGCATGACTCTGCAGTCTCCTCCCCTTCCATCTAAAACACTGCACATGCTCTTCCCACCATCTGTCACACAACTCGTCTCATCCACTTTATGTCCACTCTACCCCACACGACCCATGACAATGTGGCTCTGTGAGGGCAGGAGGTTTGTCCCCTGTGTCCTTTATAGGTTCTCTCTCCCAGCAATTAACAGGTATCAACAGCTGACTGGAACATGATGAGAGCAGGCAGCTGGCCAAAGCCTTTCTTCTTTCTGATGTACTTAATAGCATTTGTAGCATTCACCATCTCCTCCAGGCAAGGAAACCAGGCCTTCCTTGTCTCATTTTATATAGAAACTCCAAAAAAGATAAATGGCTTCCCCTCCTCCCCATGCAGAATTCCAGGAACTTCCTGATTTTGCAAAAGAGAAGATACCTTCCAATGCCCAGACTAGGAGACGTCATGCAAGGGGCACATTAAAGGCAGGTCAAACAGGAAGTAAAGGACAAGAGGCTGGAGTTGGAGACATCGTGAGAGTTAGGGAAGAGAGACAGAGGACCTCATGGCCTTTAGGTCACATGCAATGATTTGCCTTATGCTTAGGATCTTGCCCAGCTCTTGAGATGCTCCCCAGGGGGTTATGCAGGAAGCCAGGAAGACCCAACCTCATCAGGGCGGCTGTGACACACAGCACTGAGCTCAGCCATCTGGGCACAGAGGATGCCCAGATGTAAACAAGGAAAGTAATGGAAATAGCCCACCAAGTTCCTCCGGCTGAAACATTCCTCTCTGAACAAGAGTGACCCTTCTGAAAACAACTGTAGCCCCTGCGGGAGAAATGGACATGGTCCCACTGCCCCGAGGCCAGTCCCTCTCCTCCATGCCTGTCCTTAACAGCATAGCAACCATCAGGACCTCCAACTGGGAGAAAATTGGCCGAGAGGGTTCTTTCAAATCCATCTAAGAAATGTTCAAATAGATGTCCTCATCCAGTGTCCACAGGAAACAAGAAGGAACCAAAGAACAATAATTATCTCAATCATGGCAAGCAATTCACTCCCAGCTGTTCACTGCACTAAGCCACTGTCTGCAAAACAGAGGGCTCACTGAACCAACCTTGTAGGTAAGTTGATCTTCCCCCTTCCATGATAGAAAATACCTCTTGTTTCAATCATCTGGATTCGCTATGCAAAGACATGCCCAGCCCTGAAAATCAGCCCAGAAACCCAGAAGTCCCGACGAGCCAGGACAAAGCCAGACCTGTCCCTGAACACACAGGAGCTCCCTCCCCTGCTCTGCACCAGGAGTCTGGACTGAACGGAGGGATGGAGGGTGCTGGGGCACAGTACTCACTGCGGTGAGACAGAGGGCTGCTGAGGGCCACTTCCAGCAGGCTCCCCGGGGCTCCACCCATGGTGCAGTGCATGAAGCCATCCTCACAGTAGCTACAGAGGAGAGCAGAGACTTGTCCACCCTGCTGTCTTGGGTCCTCATCCTCCACTCTTTTTCCTTCCAACCAGGCTCCCAGGCCCACCAGTCCCTGAAGCATGGCTTCCCAGGGCCACCAAAACCTCCATGTCGTTAAATCTCACTGAATCGTTTTACCAATTCTTTTCTTCCCTGGTCCCTTCAACATTACTCACTTCAACCCCTCGTGACTCCTCCACTTTTTTAGAAAATAAAAAACTCCCTTCCTGTTTTCCTCCAACCTCCCTGGTTGCTTTCTCATCCTCAACCTCCACCTTTTAAGGTCCGTGTCCCCAGGCTCCATCCAAGGGCCTTGAGTCTCCTCACACTATGGAGCAGCCTATCCCAAGCTCCAGTGACAAAGGTGACTCATTTCCACCCAGGAACCACACCTACAGATACCTCCAGAGTAGCTTCCCTCAGGTTCTCAAAGACACCTCCGACTCCTTGTATCAAACAGAGCCCACGGTCCTCCACCAAGACCGGGCCTCTTCCAGAGCTGCTTCAGGGACTGTCCCATCATCCACTTGGTCTAATTCTACAGCTAGAAACCCAGGCTGATCCCTGACACTGCCCTGCTGCTCACTGTCTACATCAGATCCACCACCACACCCCCAAGCTCTGTCTCCTCCATACCCACATCTCTGTCTCCACTGCCACTATCACTTTCTTCCCAACCAATGCAAAAGTCTCCTAACTGATGTTTTTGCACCTGTTCCTGCTCCTCTGGAAAATGCTCCTCTTGCAACCATGTATCTTTGCAGATATAAATCCAATTATGCCACATTCCTGATTGAAGCCCTCCACAGCCTTCCCTCCAAAGGTCTTCAGGTAGAGAGCAAACCTCCGGTGACCTGACGGCCCCTCCTCCTTCTCCAGCCCACCAGCTGTCTTTGAATCTTGAATCCGTTAGCTTTAGCATAAGCTTTGACCATAAGCTTCCGTACACTCTTTTCTTTGACCTATGCCAAAGCTGCTGCTTCTCCTTAACACACAAACGCACACACACATGCATGCACATGCACACACGCACATACACATAGAGTCTTCTTTGCCCCACTTCATCTCGAGTTCTCACAGACCAGCTATTTTCTTTCGCGAACTGATCACCTTTAACACCTGCCTCTTGCTGGACTGAAGATTCAAGAGGGCAAAAGTCACAAGTGTTATTGTTCACCACTAAATCCCTCACATCCAGCATAAGGCTTTGCATAAAGTTCTCAGTATTCTTTCATTTTTAACTGCCATACAAGAAATGCACAATTTCATGAGCCACCTGGTGAGATTTGAACACACATGCACCATGTGCAATGATCCGATCAGGGTAATGGGTGTATTCATCACCTCTAAGATCTCTTGGTCCTTTGTTTGGGGACACTCAAAATTCTCTATTCCAAAACACACAGTCGATAACTGTTAATGGTCGTCATTTATTGTTCTATAGGACACTGAGGTTTTAGCCAGCTCCTGGCCTCAGGCTTGCTCTATGACTGTGAGGGCTGCTGGAATGAGCACAGACATGCTCAAAAGAACCTCTGGGTACATGTGTGTACCTTCCTGTCACCTCTCCATGGACATCACTAGCATTGGCTCCAACAAGGTTCACCCTTCAGTGTGCAGACTCAGGAACAAAAAGGAATAGCCATAAACAAGCCTGGAATTCTTTAGGGCACATGTGCTCCATGAGATTCAGTTCTCCAAGTAAAGTGGTGAGAGACAGTAGTCAGTAGGACCCAACCCTCGTGCAGAAGGGGATACAGCCCTCTCCTAGCAAGAGGACAGAGCCCTGCTCATCTAGGGCCACTGCATACCAGCTGCCACTTTTTCCGCTATGAAGAAACAGCTGGTGGTAGCTGCTGTCCCCCAAGTCATCCTCACTTCCTAAGGGACTTCTTTCCTCTTCATGAAAGCGGGGACCACCCTAGCCCACTGGTCAACGACCTCAACTGTCTGCCCTCGGTACAATATGCAAAGCAATCCTTAGGGTTCTATTCACTTTCTGGATGACTTGGGAGCATCATCATGTCTCTCTGCCTCAAATTATTTACTAAAAAACAAACTCTGCCTGCCTTACAGTGCTTTGTTAGGGTCCCAAAGAGAAACACCTCAGAAACTATAGCCAGACAAAGGTAATGAGCTGACCACTGAGCTAAAGCCAAAAGATTGAGCGAGTATTGTATGTGATCACAGTCGACCTTCACCAGTTGTGGATTCCGCCTCTGCAGACTCAGCCACCCAGGTCAAAAGTGTTCATAAAATTGCATCTGTACTCAACACATACATTCTTCCTTGTAGTGATTTCCTAAACAGTACACTATAACAACTATTCACATGGTATATACATTCATTGTACATTCATTGTACTATAAGCAATCCAGAGATGGTTTAAACTATAGGGGAGGACTGCACAGTATATATACAAATTCTACCTCATTTCATGTAAGGACTTGAGCATCCAATATCTTCCAGGGTTCACAAACCAGTCCATTAGTATCAATGGGCTTCCTTCCCTCCTGAGTCTCCCTAGAAGGGCATCACCCTAGTTATACCCTTTCACTGCCCTCTCTCAAAGGATCCCCTTTCCTCCTCTAATCCTCTAAAATTCTCAAGTTCTGAACCTGCCTCTCCTATTTGACCCATTAGTTACCAGCTCTTCTTTCAAGGGTATGGTGTGCAATTCCTATCATTTAGATAGGCTGTGGTCTCAAAGGTTTGTGTGCTAGAAGCTTGATCTCCAAAGGAACAGTGTACCAAGGTGGTGGGACCTTGAAGACCTGAGACCTACTAGGAAGTAGTTAGGTCACGGAAGCAGTACCCGTGGAGGGGACTAATGCCTGTCTCACAGGAGGGAGCGAGGTCTCAACAGACTGGATTCATTTTCCAAAACACGAGTGGTTAAAAAGTGAGCCCACCACATGTTCACAGTCTTATACACCCTGCTCTCAAATGCAGCTGCCCAACCTCAGACCTGTCAGCCTCCAAAACTGCAAGCTGAAATAAAACTTTTTTCCCTACCAAGTACCCAGTCTCAGGTATTCTTATAACAATTAAAACCCATCCCAGAGCAGCATGCTTGGAGCCACTGCTACTATGGTGTATTTTCTTCTGGTTCAAATCCTTCCGCCTGAGAACACTGCAAGGAGGCTAACAGAAAGGGGTCCTGGGAGCTCTCCTACTTCCTGTTCTAGGAAAAGGAAACAGACCCAGAACAGGGAAACAGGGCCCAGAACATAACGGTTGACAAGAATGTTCAAGAACCCTTGCTGCCAGCCCAGAGAGCTACTTCCCTGCCTTTAAGGAAATCAGAAGACCAGGGTGACTTCTCTGCCATGCTTCTGACCTACTGCACTAGCATGGAAGTCACTGCCTTCCTGGGCCTCAGTTTACTCACCCACAAAATGAAGGACATTCTCCTATCTAGTTCTGCCCTTGGCAGATTCCCTCAGCTGGGCACTTACCACATGGTATGATGGTCTGAGAAGATGTCCGCGGGCTGGAAGATCTCACCATCGTAGTAACAAGGGCACCGGGCCTTGGGCACACAGTCCCCCCTCTCATCCTGGTAGAGCCCTGGGGGACAAAAGCAGCCCTCCAGACAGACCTCATTGCATTCTTCATCCGGGTAAGAGAGGGAGCGGCAGGTCAGGTTGCAGGGGGTCCCACACTGCAGGTACACCTGGCCCTGTGGGCAGCTCAGGGCTGGAGGAGGGAGAGGAAGGCGGGTGTCAGCAGCCATGGCCAAGAGCAAGGACAAGACAGGCACCCCTTGCATCTTTGCCCCCAGTTGTGTCTGCACGGTCACCCCCTCATCAGCAAGTGTATTTTCAGACACACAAATGCACTTACACCTATGGACACTCACACTACATCTCTTTTTTAACAAGAGGAAGGTGTTTTAAGCACCTCTGAATTCCCCCAGTGTAGGACACAGTAGAAATTCTGGTGCCTCTGAACATTAAAGGAACTGCGAGTGACGGCCACGGCATCTCCATGACAGCGTGACGATAACAGCTGCCACTTTTGAGCACCTACTGTGTGCCCTACAAGCCACATAGGTTTTGTGCCCATTTGCTAATTAGCTCTCATCACAGCCTTTCTATGGGTAAGGAAACCAAAGTGTGAGCTGAGGGGGTCGTCGGAGTCAGGCCCCTCAGGAAAAGCAGGGGCAAGATTCAAAGCCCGCTCGCTGTAGCCCTAATGATCAGGTTCCTAATCACTGTACTCTAAAAAGGAAATACTCTGATAGGTCAGACAACAGCAAATAATAACCATTTTCCCCACCTGTCTGTCTATCTGCCTGTCTATCCATCTGTCTATCTACCTACCCAACTATCCATCTACCCATCTACCTACCTAGCTGTCCATCTATCTATCTACTCATCTACATATCTACCTACAAGTTTATCTTCCTCCTGTCTGCCATGGCACTAGGGACCATATCCAGCGTCTCATGCTGACACTGAACTATGTCACCAGCCCCCACTGTGTCTGCCTCTCAGAGTTTTGCTGCTCTTTATAGGAAAGGGCCTTATGAACTCATTCAAATTGAACTTTTAAAATGACAGATAAAACTTCATGTACCCTTTATCCCAAACTGTACATTTCCAAATTTTAAATAAACTAAATAATAAAAAAAAAAATAGTCTCTATGGGCTGGGGATATAGTTCAGCAGCTCAAGCATCTGCCTAGCAAGCACAGGGTCCTGAGTTCAATTCCTGAAATAGTCCATCTGAGGACACTCGAGTCCCTAACAGCAGGGACACATGTACCTTCCCCAGGGAACTGGGCAGCCCCATCTGCCCGCAGCCCTCACCTCCCTGTCCTTCCACACAGGAATGCAGAAAAGCTGCAGGAGACAAATCCAGGAGGAAAAGGAACACAGTGCTAAAACAGCTAAGAGAATGGGCCCTGTGCCCAAAAACTCAGATGCAGGCCCCAGTCCCACCACTAGTAAGCAGGTGACCTTAACCAGCATCCTGGCTAGACTTTAATAACAGTCTCTGCCCGAGCCTTCATGAGGTTCAGTGCACCAGCAGGCTTAGTGGAAATCCTGAGTGTGGTGAAGGTTCCCAGCTGCTTCTGTCATCGATACTGCCAAGGCCACACAGTCCCAGCTCAGCAGGCTCAAGGTGGGAAGAGTCTTCCCAGAAAGACCTGGCAACTTTGCATCATGGCCATCCCATACTAGCACCTAATGAGCACCCTGATGGTGACACCTCTATTGAGAGGACACAAAAAAGAGAGGCGAGTTGAGGGATGCATTTGCCCTTCCAAAGTGCTTTCTAGTTGCTGATCTGTTGTTAAGAAACTCAAGCCTCCGTCTGGGCACACTCTTCCTGGGACCATGAGAATCCTTCTCTCTTTATCAGAATCCATTTCTGCGGTGGGGACTCACAGTTCGAGCCCCTCACAGATGCTATACAATTCAGCCCTAGAGAGGCTCTGCACCTGCCATTCCAAAGACCACCTTGGACTTGGTGTTTGATGGTAGCCAGGAAGGAAATGGCTCTCAAACCATCAAGGACACTGGCTTTCCTAAAAGAATGGAGAGTCTGGGCCATCAGCTGCATGGGTAGGGGGGTGGGGTAAGATGGGAGCTGCCAAGGGTGGTGCCTGCTTCCAACCCTTCAGTGCACAGTGACAAGAGCGTACATCATCCACTAAAGAGTAACTATGGTTGACAGTTTTATTGCCCCTAGTGCTGGCCTGAAGCCATATTTAATTTCTCCATCAGTCTTGTTCCACAGAAAAAGCATGTGCACCTCCTTTTAGAAAGCATTTACTATATGCCCATCACATGCCAGGGGCTGGGCTAGGTTCAGGCACACAGAGAAGTTAAGACTCGGCCCTTGGCTTCAATGAGGCCTGAGTCTTCTCCCCATTGCACAAGGAAGGGAAAATGTGTGCTCCTCCTGAGCCTCCTCGCCGCATGCACCAGGTCACCACCTGGTTAAATCTTGTCTCAAGTGTCCTTGGTCTGTGTGACCTTGCCTACAGATGAGCTCAGTGGTTTGGGGAGCTCTGTCCAGAGTGCAGAAAGGGAAAATGAGGTCTGTCAGTGGCCCTGGGCTCCTCTGGGGGAGGAGAAAGGCAGGAAAAAAGAACCCAGGAGTCCAATTCCCTTCCTTGGGCTCAGAAGAATAACCTACAACCATCTGCCACACGAGCCTGTGGAGACAGAGCTCTCTCATCCTTAAACGTCTGCAGGGAAGCTTCCTTCCCACCAGCCAAGACTTTTTCTGTATCACAAAGCCTCTGTCACTACAGTGTCCCATGGGGGAAAAAAAAAAAACAAAGCCTCTGGATTCAGGAAATCCTTTCCCCAAATCTCAGTCCCTGGTACCAGCCATACCAACCCCCTTCTCATTCTGCTCCATGGAGGTCCTGGCCAGCCACTGGAGAGAGCTCAGTGAAAGTTTCTGAGAGCCCTGAGTGTTGTAGGACAATGTCCCACATCAGGGAAGCCTTGGGCTGCTGCTGCTGCTGCTGCATACGGCTGTGCACAACCTCTGTTGGGGTGATGATGACCAAAGCACGCTCAGCAATACCACTTCCCTGACTCACAACTACTTTTTCCAATTTCTAGACTACAGACTGGGAAAACAGAAGTGCAGAAGGCTGCACTGAGGGGTGGAAGGGTACAGCAAGCTACCCACAACGCTTTAGCTGGAGTTTCTCAATGGCCAACTTGTGATTACTCATGACACCCACGGCTGGAGAGGCGGAGACAGCACAGCGTGTGGAGTCATAAACTTGCTTTCTTTTGTCCCTGTTTCTGCTCCTTTTCTTTAAGGAAATGGCTTAAGCTCCAATGTTGAGTTGGCTCACCTGACCCTAAATGTTGACCCTTATAGAGTCCCCTCACACCTCAACTTCTCTTCAAATGCATACATTTCTTTACAACCTCTTCTAGCCCCTATTTTCTGTGCTTCTGCTGAGACCAACTACATTTTAGTCTCCTGACATATCTACTTTTCCCTAAAAATCAAAATATCCACTAACCTTTACCGTCTAGAATGTTCACCTCCTATGCAACCAGCTCTCCTCTGCCAAGAAAGCACCTTTTCAAAACCATGTTCAAGGACACCTGCTCCAGAAAGCCTCCGGCGGTCCCAGCCCTTGAACCTGAAACCCTGTCTTCTTCGTCTGTCCTTGTCCTTCATCTCTGCATCCCTGCCCTCAGTGAAACCGCACTTCCTGTAGAGGCGCCAATTTTCACTTGTGCCTTGGAAAGGAAGTTTCAAGTTCCACACTGTACCCTCAACCTGACCACACTGGGCACTCAGCAAGCGTCCTCAGAGCCATGCCAACAGCAAAAGATGAGCATACTCTGGTTACCGCAGGCCACTGCATAGGAGCAGAGACCAAGCCTAGTGCCAGGAATCTACCAGAGCAGAGGAGGGTGTAGAGAACACGCCTCCCGTTTAGACTTTAAAGTCTAAAGAGAAGACTTTACCAGTGCAGAGTTGCGGGCCTGGAGTCTGAAGGTCAGCCTGAAGTCCCCAGCTGGGGATTCCTGCTACTTTGTGACAAGCATGGGTGCCCAATAGCCTGGCCTCACACATGCAGGACACCAGGTGGGAGCAGACACAAGACACCTTCGGGTCTGAAACCCACAGAACAGGCACCTGTCCTTGGAAGAACCAGCTCCCCCACCACCACATCTTGCTTGGAGATGAACCTGCAGCTATCGCCACCGCCCAGCTTGTCAAAGTATTCCTGGGTGCAGTTCCGAATGGAATGACGCCGAGAAAGCACTTGGGAAAGAACGTGGATGGACAGGGCAGGCAGGAGACAGAGGAAGGGATACTCACCACAGAGGCCAGGCTCACGCCACCCAATGTGCACGCCCCTCCCGGCACAGGCTGCAGCATAGCTGGCCACAGCGCTGCACAGGCAGTCCCTGCCATCAGAGCAGGCACAAACGTCGTAGCGGCAATTCTGCAGGTAGGGCAGGGGGCTCACAGCATGGTGGCAGGCCTCGAACTTGGAAGACGTCAGCAGGGCGCAGGCCTCCTCTGCGAACCTGGCTGGAGGGCGAGGAGGACATGTCCAGGATGGATAGGGACCAGCCACAGGGGACTCTGACATCCCAGACTCCAGAGAGGAGCAACAGCTCCTCCTCTGGGTCCCCCAGCTAATAAAAAAGCAGCTCTGGCTCCAGGAACCATCACAATTTATCCTCAGCAGCTGATTTCCTTCCCTAAATACAAGTGTCTCAAAATGTACCTTAAACTGCATCCCTGAAAAAACATCCACAAACAAAAGGGACAAAGTGACCAGTGGTGGCTTGGATACGATGGGATGTTACAGTAAGACTGGAATGCTGCTGCAGATAAATCTGCATGTACCACTCTGATCTACTTAGCTCACAACAATTCCCTCTGAGTTCATGCCTACACTGCTCCTGTAGACCCAGGGACATGCAGGAATGGGAGCTGCTACATTCTGTCCTGTTCTTTCTCGCATTTGAAAGACTGAACAAGCCAGCTGCAGGTAACCAGACCCTTCTCCTGTGTGCAGAGATCCCAGGCTGCACGCACCCAAGCGCGGGTTGAGGGCACAGGGGTCGCTGGACTGCATCTGCAGGTCAGGGCAGTCGCCATGCAGCTTCCAGGCATTCCCGAAGTCCGCCACCAGGGCCTCCACCAGGCCCGTGGGGGTGAGGAAGTCATCACCCTTGTTGCCGTTGTAATTCCCACACAAGCCGCACGTCTTCCCAGCGTAGACAGGGGACAGCTGCAGGGAGAGGACACAACACCTCGGAACAGCTACAGCCAAAGTGTGACAGCTGCTTCATTTTGTTCAATGGAAAAAGCTCCCCGGGCAGGGAAAAATAAGTATGTATGGCAGCTTGTGCCCTGGGCTGCAGAGCTGGGGCTGCGGCAGGTACTGCAGCACACACCCATCAGTCAGCTGGGTCCCTGCTCTAGGAGGAGCCAGCTAGGGCTGGGGATATGGCTCAGTGACACAGCATCTGACTGGCAAAGCCGAGGCCCTGAGTTCTATTCCTGGTACCAAAAAAAAAGAAAAGTACAACCTAGAAGGAGTCAGGCTCCTTGTCCGATCTCAGGACTGAGGAAAGCTCTAATCCCAAGTGCATATCCAGAGATGCAAGTGAGTGGAGCTGCCTTCTCCGGGGGACAGCTGGAGGCACCCGCTGGTTTCTGTTTAGAAGCTCCTGATGAAGCCGGGTCCAGTCTGTTGGACTGGCCCGGGCTCTGTGTATAATTAACAAGGCTGGCGCCTTCCTTGTGTTCCCAGGCTTCGTGGGGGAGGCTGAGGCCTACTGAGTCATCCCTGGGAGCTCCAGCCAGCTTCCAGCTCCAATTTGCAAGGTGCATGACGCACTGACTGGAGGAAGTTTCCAGCCCCAAATAAAATGTGCCCAAGTAAACATCCTTACTAAGCAAAGAACCCAAGACGCTTTCACGCTTGCTTTACAAAACCCAGTACTGTTACATCAAGCATGGAGACCTTTCCTGACCTCAGCACTTAGAATTTAAATCTTCAAATCCTGGCACTTCCTGCCCCGTCTCTGCTTTATGTATCTCCCCGAGATCTATTCTAATATAGGATATAATCTGCCTTTTCAGAGTTTCTTTTCTATCTCAACAGGACCAGGATGTGTGCCTGTTCTGTCTCACCACGTAACCTCAGCATTTGGAACGCTGTCTTAATCTGTTCAGGCTGCTGTAACAAAACAGCACTGGGTGTGGCTTATAAACCAACCAACCACAAAATCCTCTTTCTCAGAGCAGGGAGGCCAAGATCCAGGCCCAGACAGATTCTGGTGAGGGCCCCACTTCCTGGTTCCTCTTTGGCGCCTTCCGGCTGTCTCACAAGGGGAAGGGCTGGCTGGTTGTCTGAGGCCTCTTTTAAAAGAGCACCGATTCTGATCCCACTCACAAGGGCAGAGCCCTTGTTACTTAATCCCCTCCCCAAAACTTCCTAACGCCATCACCTTGAAGGGTTAGGATTTCAACCTATGAATCTGGAGGAGCACAGTAGGCCTAGTGGCCACTCTAATGAATGCTAAGCCAGTGAATGTGGAACAAATGAATAAATACGTTAGTGCAAACACAGGCCCCTCCAGACACAGGTTGAACTGCAAGGCCAACAGTCAAGGTCAGCCTGAGCCAAGTGACAAAACAGTGATGTGTCTGTCTTTCCCTCTCCCCGCTTCATACCACCTCCCCTCTCCTCCTTCTCAGATACTGGGTGCCCTCAGGCTCCCCAGAATCCCCCATGTTCACTCCCACCAGCGGGCCATCACTATGATTTCCCATTCTCCCACCTTAGTCATGCCTGTAATCCCAGCACTCTGGGAGGCTGAGGCAGGAGGATGGCAGGTTAGAACTCAGCCTGAGCAATTTACTGGCTTAGTCTCAAAAAATAGTATGCAAATAGTATACCAAGACTGGGGTTGCTCAGTATGAAGGCCCTGGATTCAAATCCCTCGCACCAAAACAAAAGCAAAAACATTTCTCTCTCCACCCCTTCGGCTGGTCTCAGAGGTCAGTATGACCAGAGGTGAGAAACACCGATGTATCCAGGACACCAAGCTATGGCTGCCCCACAGCCCTGCCACATCCCAGCTCTGGACATGTGGAGAAGACACTTGTTACCTAAAACAGACCTCTGCTTGGTGACAGTTCTGATGAAGTAAAGATAATCACAGGGTGGAGCTGTGCCCCACATGCAGCTGGCTGAGCCAGAAATCGGAAAAGAGAAAGCACAGCTTTCCCTGACCCAAGCCTGGCTGCCTGGATGGCTGCCGTGGGACAGGGTGTGCATCCTGTACTGGGCAGGACAGACAGCAGATTCCCTGCAGCGCCGTCCTGAGCTCCTGTGAGTTTATGCAGTGTCCGCCTAAAGCCCCAAGACCAGCTCACTACCTCTGGCCCCTGCAAAGGATCCTTCCTGCTCTGTACTCAACTACAGGAAGCCCCATAGGCTCCCCAGGCTTGGTCCTGACTCATGACCAGTCCAAACCATACATTCTATTCCCACAGAAAGCAGTCGCTCTTTCTTCTCAGAGGAGAGACCGAGAGCAGAAGGCCCTAGGACACCAGGTAGTTGACTGAGCCGGAAAGTGAGGCGCCAGGACGCCCTGGACCAGGGAGGTGGCATGGAGAGTGGGCACCGGCATGGGGCTTTCCCTGGAAGCCTGGGATGAGGCTCAGTAACCAGAGAATCCTGAGACCAAGGCAAGTCGCTCTGCCTGCAGAAATGAGGGACCTTTATTTAGAGGCACTCCAGCCCCGCCTGCTCTGTGCTCTGTGGCCGCAAGTTTACTTTTTATAAAAGGAAAAAGCAAGAGTCCGTTTCAAACTCTCTTGGGAGCTCTAGGGAAGATCCCAAGAGAACAGTGGACGTGGGTTTCATCAGGGACCTTCAACACTCATCTCTCGATACACCAGGGACTCCAGGGAGCAGGGACACCAGGACAAAGTCATCTCCCCAGGGAACCTTGGCACACCCTGGGCAGTGCAGCCCAGAGGAGTGGCTGTGCAAGGCCAAAACCACTTTCCTACAAACATGAAATCACTCCTGCTTTTTGCCTTCTCATTCCCTTACAAGGACATGGTGGAATTTTCCAGAGGCTACAGAACATGCAGTACTGCAGACTGACGGCAGAAGTAGACGTGATGGTCCAGCTGCCTCCTATTAAGCCGAGCATTAAGAAGATTTGCAGAAATATGTGACAACAGTATCCTTCTCAGGACTGAGTTGTTTTGGAAAACATAGGGTTTTTTTCCCAAAAAAAGAAAAAGTTGTTTGCATTTATACTATATTAGGCTTAAGACTGCCTTTTTAAATAAGTTAATAAACACGTGTTTTTGTTTCATTTCCATTCTGGTAAATGTCGATGGATAAAACCGTTATTACATATCCTGAAGTCCTCAGCAATTTTAACAAAGTCCTGAGACCAAAGAGCAAGAGATGTAACAGGAAGCGCAGGTCAGAGAGCTGATCCTGGCTCAGCCATGACCACGCATTGAATATTGAAGACTCAACTTCCACATGCTTTAGTTGTCTCCCTTATAAAATAGATAGTAAGCCTGTAACCCCAGCACTCAGGAGACTGAGACAGGAGGATCACCCAGAGTGCAAGGCCAGCTGGGACTACAAGGGACCCTGTCTCAGAAAAAAAAAAAAAAAAATAGAGAATAAGAAGGATGCAGTAATAATACCTGCATGGCCACCTGCCAGGGACATTTTGAGAGAAAGAGTGCAAATGCAATCCCAGTAAAATGTTATGGGGAGCTCTCTAAGAGAATTCGAAGGCCTCCCTGAGAACAGGAGGATGTGGCTCTGAGGCGGGAAGGCCCAGTGGAGAAGTAAGGACTGGCAGGACTCACGGGAACTTTCACACATGGAAGAGGACCGTTTCCTCCCAGGACACGGCGTCTTGGCTGTGTGCTCCCGCCTGGCCCCTCCTTGCTGCCCACGGTGGCACCCAGGTCTTGCTGCAGTCCGGAGATTGGTTGGCAAATCTGCCCCCAGTTCATGGTACCCAAATGCTACACGCAATGATCCCCAGGCCGACATGGACATCCAGAAAACAAGCAGCAACTTCCAGCAAACAAGAAAGGCCTGTTTCTGCCTCTGGGGGTGTTGAGCACCCGAGCACCCGAAAAGAAAGGAATTCTTCTCCCACCACACAAAGCCTTTCTGCCCAGAGCACAAGGAGTGCCTTATGAGGCCTAGGCCCCGGGAGCTGGGGACTAGGGAGGGGACCCACCTTCAGCAGTAGCCTCCCGCGGCCGTCCCAGTCCATCTGCAGGTCCTCCCCGTAGCTGAGGCGCACAGAGGCCCTCACGGTGTGCTGGATGCGGAGGTCCCCTGCAGCCAGCAGGACAGATTTAGGCTGGGGTGAGGGGGCAAGGTGGTGGCAGGCAGAGGGATTGTGGGTACAGGTTATGGGGTATTTCAAAATGACTATAGAAATGGCCAACAGCAAGTCAGAGGCAGAGAGGATATCCGTGAAATTTAAGGGGTCTCAGGAGAAAGAGGGGTCAGAGGGGACAGAAACAGTCCACTCCTCAAAAAAGGAGGTGGGGGAGCACCTCTGGCGCCTGTGTGAACTGTCGTTCCTTTAGTTTCCACAAGAGGGCAGAAGAGCTCCTGCATCTCTATCGGAGCTGAGGACTCTGACTCCGGGTACATGAGCCCTTTGCTTTGCACACTGCTTCCCAAACTATGTTTCTCAGTCCCAGCGGGTGATGCTGGGTGCAAAGCTGAATACAGAAATGCGCACTGATGTGATGAGGTGGCGATCATGTAGCAGCATGTGCCCTGCCCTGGTGGGGTGGAGACATGCACAGCCCTGCACACATGGCATGCTCACTATCCAAGGTCACCCACTGTGCGCAGAGCCATGGGTGGCCAGGAGTTAGGAGGAGGAAGGTGACACTGGGGAGTGACGCTGCACAGATGCAGCTCTGCATCAGCAGGCTCTGTGCAAGCTGGGGGAAGATGCTAAGCAGGGAGGATTTTCCCAGTAGGCAAAGGGGAGGTGGCCTTGCTCAGAGTGGCCTCCTTTGGTAGCAGCCACCCAGACCTCACAGTGTGCAGGCCTCCACAGCTCTCTCACCCCAAAGCATAACAGAACCACCACCCTGGGTCAGACTCAGCACCATTCTCTGACTCAAGTCAAGGCAAACCCTCTTGATTCCACTCCCCTCTACACTCCCAGGTCCAGAGCAGCCCTCTGCTCCGTCGATGCTCTACCAGCTTCCTCCTGAGAGTCTCCTCCAGGAAGCCTTCCTTTCCTATGGGGATCTGTGCAGAGGAGACCCACACTGCCCTCCAGAGAAATGCCCCATCCTGTGCCCAGGGAAGGGAAGAGGGGGGATGGAGACTCACGTGAAGAAGGCGGGTTCTCTGGGGGAAACCAGGGCCCCAGAGGAAGGAGGAGGGGCTCACCTTGCAAGAGAGGGACTTGGACGTCCTGGCCGTCCACTGCGACTCCTCCCCCGTGCTTCAGCTTCACGAGGCTGTTGTGCAGGGCGGCTAGCCGCAAGGTGACCGAGCGAGTGCAGACAGCATCAGGATCATCGGCACACTGCCAAGGGGACAAAGGGTGATCTCATCAAAGCCCCTTCCACCCGGCCACCCAGCCCAGGACCTATGAGACCAGAGAAAAGCTTGGACCTTCTCACACAGCACACCATCGTCCCACAGAACACATGACGATGGGAGCTCAGAGTTGTGCAAGAAACGTGTGCACCCCACGCTCACCCACTCCCTCCCATCCGGGCCTGGCCATTTGTGGAGAATCTCCGGCCTGTGGCCCATCTTCTTCCTGGAGCCTGTGACCCTGAGACAAGGAGTGCTTTGACCCCAGTGAGGCCCTGTGACTCTACTTGTTCTTACCTTAGCTTTGGTCCCCAGAGAAGGGCACACAGGACACAGAGGGCTCAGGAAAGGAGAGAGGTCCTCCTAGCCCACCCAGGTGTCCCCGGTTCTACACATGGGACCCATCCTGAAGTGGGAGACACCCATGGGCCAGTGCTGGGTGGGTGTAGCAGGGTAAACACTTTGTCACAATATCGAGAGAGAGGGGGACAGGCTGGGTTTCCGTGAAGTCCAGAGAGGGGGGAGGGGCTCGCTGTGCTGCCTTCTCCCCACCTGCACTCAGGTGACCCAGCTCACCTGCACGGTGTCTATGACGATGGAGAAGGTGTGGTCCTGGCAGTCCTGGGCCAGCAGGTACTGGCAGATCCCACTGAAGGTGAAGTGTCTGTCATCAAAGCTCTTGAAGTGGGCCTGGCCGGTGACGAGACACTCCCCTGAAGGGACACAGATGGGGAGGAGGGACAAGTGGAAGCCTCCTGGTGACAAGGTGACATGCTTATGCAAGCAGGGAGCCCTGTCTCCGAGATGCCCTAGGTGCCCTCTCCCCACACCAGTCCAAACCCAAGTTCTAGGCAAGGACTGTAAGTTGGCCCCAGTTCGATGCATGTTTTACAGATGGGGTGACCAACAGAGGTGATAAAGCCACATCACAGTCTGTGACAGACCCCTGGACATAATCCAAGGCTCCTTGTTTTCCATTCCCTCTGCAGCCTACTGCCTCAGATCCTGAGTCTGTCTGGTCCATGCCATGACAGCCACAGCACCATCTTGGAGCCTGGCTGTGCTCTTCCAGGAGCCTGGCATGTGGAGGGTGTCAGGGACCCTGCCTCATCCTACAACACAGAGCTCTAGATACACCACACGCCCCCTCCCACCCAACTGCTGCACAGGAGGAGCCTCTGCCAAAGCCCAGCTTGGGCCAGTTCCATCTTCAGGGCCCACAATGATCCCACTGAGCCTGCACCAGACATCTGGAGCCCTGACCAACCTTGCTGTATGTGCTTCCTCCAACTGCTCATCCTTGCCATCTAAACTGAACCTACACAGGAACTCCTGGGCCTCTCCGTCACAAGGGGCCTCCTCCCTCGCTGCCCCTGACCTCCAGGCAGCAGAGGCTGGCTCTCCTCTGCCCAGCCCAGGAGGGCCCCACCGCAACCCCACAGGAAGCTGATATTCAGGAGGACCCCAAGGGCCACAAAGAGAGCCCAGTTATCCATCTGTCAAGAACATTAGAAGATCCCACCAGCTACCACTTCCACACAGGCTTTCTGTGGTTACACGCCAGCTAGATTACATGGCTCGAGATCCTGCTGCAGCTCAGCTATAGGCACAGGTTTGGAGCCTAGGTGACTGGCAAGTATCCCACCACCGACCACCTTTCCAGGATGGAAGCTTAGACAAAATCAAGAGACACAGGGAGTCTCTGGATAGTTCTACTCACATCCGCTCCCACTCCACTGCTCCCTACAAAAGGGCAAGTGAGAGGTGGGTGACTGTTCATGGAAATCAGAGCAGAACAGGCAACAACACAGGGCCAAGGGTCACCCAGCTCATTGTGCAGGTCCTGGAATTCCAGGTCCAGCCCTGTCACAGGAAAGCCTTTTCAGAGGGCTGTTTCTCAGAAATCACAGCCCCAGGACAAGCAGAACAACCTGGCCACTGCTGTCAAAGTCTTGACCTCGCTGAGGTAAAAGGGGTGGAAATTCTCCGCCCGGCCTTTCTCTGTTTTCTCAAGCTCATTCTAATCTGAATGTCTAATCTGACAGTGCCCAGGAAGAGAGGTTAGCAAGAAAATGTGGGAAAATTCGAAAACAAAATGTCAAGGCTGAAATCTGATCTCTGATCTGATTTCCTCTAAGTCTCATGGATTTGTTTCTCAGGAATCAAAAGTCTGATATTATTTTCACCTTATCTCCTGGATACAACCAAGAGACAGAGCAAACACAGGAAACCCAGGAAAACGGATGGGAGAAAAAAAAGGTGGGGGGATAAAATGGATGGGCATCCTGCAGGGTAGCAGGTGGCCATGGAAAGGGGACATCCACCCCCACCATGGGCCACATGGCTGCGCTCACCCTCCTTTCCCCAGAACAGGATCCCTCAGGTATGGGCAGGGTTTTAAGTAACCCCTTAAAACAGTCAGCCACCACCAGGTACAGAGCTGGGCTCCCCAAGTTTGGCAACGAATGAAAGCAGGAAATTCTTACACTGCACCCAGAGAACAGAACCCAGAAGCTAAAGCAGATCCACTCCCATGTGAATTAAGACAAACACTTTTCTGACAGAACCTCATCTCTACAAAGAGAATACGAGCTCCTGATGGGCCACTCTACAACTTTCCCGGCAAAAATGTCAGCACACAGGCCTTTAGCAAAGCAGCTCACACCTGTCCAGATGTCAGCCTTCACCCAAGCCTGCCCCTAAATCGCACGTGATCACCAAAAGTGCAAGCCCTACTGGCATGGAGTGTGAGATGTGTGTCCCCTTGCACCAGGCCTTTCCAGAGTCTGCACATCACCTGCCCCACCTCACCCTCACCTCAGTCCCTCTCATGCTACGCAGCCTTTCTTTGCTCCAACCAGTGCTGTGGAAAGAAGGTCCCACTCACACTGACAGTGAATACCGAGTACTAACAGGCTCAACAGCCACGGAGCAAAGCTGCTGGCACCACTCGTTTTGCAGTTTCGGGAACTGAGGCTGTGAATCCTTAGCTGGCCCAAAGTCATCCAGATAGTTGGTGGTGGGGTGGACTTCCAACCGTGAACTATCTGAGTCCAAACTTTGCACTCCAAGTCCCTCATTCTGGACCTCCTTTTATGTGAGATTTTGGGCACAAATGTAAAGTCTTTTGCTTCCTCATGCCTTGCCCTGAAAAGTATCTGCCACACTCTTCCATTAGGAGTTTATACCTTTATTTATTTTATTCATTTATGTGGCCTTTGTTGCCATTGGGTTTTTGACACTGCAGGTGCAACCAAAACCTTGAACACGCTTGGCAAGGACTGTGCTGCTGAGCTACACCTGTAGCCCCTCTGGTGACGATTTCCAGGATGAGAGTTGTATTCACTTGAGGAACAGCCTTTGTCATAGGCATGCTCCTCATTGTCTCTGACCACACTTTCCTAGCTCAGTAGGAGCTACCCAAGCAGAGCTTCCCTGGCACTGAGCTTCCCTGGGTGAGGAGGGAAGAGAGCTCAGGACATCTGCAGGCTGTGGGGAAGCCACATGCTACAGCCTGCACCTAGTCTGTCCCCAAAGGCTTCATTTCTGTTAAAGGACTGGTCCCCACGCTGGTGCTGTTAGGGAGTAAAGGAGACTAGGGAGGCTGGACTGTCACAGGACTGTGCTCTTGAAGGACACTGCAAAAATCCATCCTTTTGGTCTCTGTCTCTGTTTCCTGGCTGAAGATGTGATCCCTGGCTGTGACACATACATACTCCAGCACCATATGCTACCATCCTCAGAGGACCAAACAAATGGGGCCACCCAGTCTTGAACTTGAACCTCCAATATCACAAACCCAAAAAACTTCTTTACCTCACAAGTAGCTGGTCAGGGCTGCAATGTGGCGCTCACAGATGTATCAGAGCTCTACTTACAGCTGCCCAAAACTCTCATCCCCAAGTAGAAGTGTGTGGGGGAGCGAGTCCTAGGAAGCCCCCATGACTCCCCAGCACAGACAGGTAGTCCCTAGCACACTCTCCTCCAATACCACAGCCAACATTCAGCAATGGGGAGCCTCAGAGCTGCCCCCATGGTCCACATCTCTGAAATACTGGTCTCTTTGTGACTGGATAATCTCCTGTGTGACCCCAAGCCCTGTAATCCACAGTCTTCCAAAATGGCCCCAAGTATCCAAACTCACCCTCAGGCCACCAAAGTCTAAAACCCAGAAAGGAAAAGTCACATAGAAGTCTGGCAGTTGTGAGTTTGCTTGAGTCCTGCCTCTGCCCTTCAGCAGCTATGTAACTAGGCAGGTTGCTTTCTCTGGATATGTTTCCTCTTTTTCAAGATGAGAACAAACTGTGCCAAGCTCATAGGTGTTAACAGTGGTGTGAGTGTCCAGCACCTCATAAACATCACAAGAGTGCACACAGTGCAGAAGGTCTGGGACCGTAGGCATTGACGGTGGGAGATTTGAATGGGTGGGGTTTGCAGTAAACAGAACAGAGGGAGACAGGAAAAAGCAAAGGGTGTAGGTTACAAAACCATTTTTTCCTACACTGATTTTCTAGAACAAGGAGGGTGGGGTAATCACTTGGCAGCCTGGTCCTCCTAACTCTTAAATCATGCTATAATCTGCATATCAAGCATTCCAGAAAATTCCACTGAAACTCTCACTTCAATCCGGAAGAATCAGCAGCACCTTCTTCCTCTGAAGTTTCCCAAGAATGTTTGTTTAGTGGGTGGTGACTCTACAGGCCACCCAGCTCAGGAGCCTCAAGCCTTTGAGTGAGCAGGTGACAGGAAGGGCAGGAACACCCGAACAGGTACGAGCCCTCCTTCCAGCAAAGGTAGGGCACCCTCCCTGGGACACCAGCATGTTAGTGTGGCTGGCATGTGAAACCGAGCCAGGCTCCATTCTCTGCGAAAGCACCACCCTCTGCCTGGCCTTCCCTGGGTCTCGTGGTAAGAGAGCACAGGCCTGTCCATCAAGGGATGGAAAAGACCAAGGGCCACCCACCTGGGCACCCTTCATTGCTGCAGATCCACAGGCTGTTCCGGCAAATGCTGTCAGGGAGAGAAGCACTGGTCATTGGTAGCTCTGGGAAAATAAGGGCACACAGGTGAATTACAGTGACCCAGACACCACAGCCTCCAGAGTCAGAAAGAAGAGGGGAGCCATTGCCACAGTGGTCTTTCAGGTGTCAGAAGCTGCACAGAAGCTAACCAGAGGCGAGGTCCAGAGGAGCTCTTGGGCTCAGCAGGGGCAGGTGCCCAGGCTGGACCTGGGACTGCAGGAACCATGGAGAGCAGACCTCAGAGTCTCCCCTGGGCCACTTCCCACCTCCAGAAGAGAAGAGATTTCAAGGGAGGAAGAGCTGTGTGCTGTTCATGGTTGGCATGCAGCTCTCTTTGTCGAGAGAAGGTCATTTATAAAAGTGATTCGGAGAGACAGCAAGTGACGTTGCTTGCGCGCAGAAAGCAGCCTTCCCTCCAACCTCCCCAGCATCTAGCTATGTGCATCTGCAATGTAATTCTGCAATGTAATTCCATCAGTGCCCTGTGTGCCTGTCCCAAAACCACACCCATCCCTGGGTCATCCCAGGCAACTTCTGACTGGTCTACCTCAGTTTCCCCTCCCAAACCCTCAAGCAGCTCCCCGACCACCACCACCACCACACTGCCCAATTACCAGGTGTTGCAGTCTTGAGAGAGGGCGGCACCTGGCGGGTACCTCTTCCCGGCATGCACACAGGAACACTCAGCATTCTCCACACAGTGGCCTGCATCAAGGAGCTGTCCCTCTAGGTGCAAAGGCATCAAGACAAAGATCTCTATGTTGTCACTATTATTACTTATTTAACAACTACGGAAGCCCCAGGGGCGACCATCCAATTAGGGCTTCCAGGAAGCTCTAAGAACCAGTTCTGAGATGTTTATCCTTCGTATCAATGCAATATGAGGGAGCAAGACTGTGACTCGCCATGAAAAGGTTGTGAATTTCCCTACAGGTTGTCTTCTGGGAAGCCAGGAGTCTAGGCTCAGGACTCCTTCCAGGAAGCTTAAAGACCTTGTTTCGTGGCACAGAGTAAGAAAGGGGAAAGATTATTCATCCCTGTTCCCCAGGGGAAGAAACAGAATCAAGAGTTGTGCTCTAAGTAATCCTGTAGGGGAACACTGAGTCAAAGCACACAGAGCCTCCTCGCTGTCATTAAGCAGGACATGGGACCCATGTTCACACTTGCTCCGTGTGAAGTCTTTTCTCAGTGAGCTCACAAGGCTGCATGTGAACTCACCAGAAATGCTTCCTAATCCTGATTCCCTGACCCCTAACTGAGAAAATGGAGCTGTGGCTTACCTGGGGCCAGGCACTCACCAAAGCCATCGCCACAACTCAGTCCACCCTCCTGGTTCCCAGGCTCTCACAGATACAGCACCACAGAAATAAAGACCAGCTCGGTCCTGATCCTTCTCTACAAAGACTTTTAAAAACGGAATAAAAGCCTTCTGATTTCAGCGAGGAGAAACAAACACAAGTGGCCTTCATCTCCCTTCCCAAAGCCAAGGGCACTGGCAGGGTCTCGGGTTTGTAAATAAAATGGGAAGTTTATTACCAGGGCAGCTGCACCCATCCACACACTGCTCCCGACACACTGCATTGACGTGCAGACTCTGGCAGGTCCTGGCGCAAGGAGACACACACTCCTTATACTCCATGCCAGCGGGACAGGCAGGGCCTGAAAGAGAAAGCAAAGGAGTCTCTCCAGCGCGGTCCCCACCAGCACAGCATCTCCCCAACCATGCTGCAGTCACAGCCTCCTTTGTCTCCAAGGCTCCACGGGCCACCTCTGCCCCACTGTGTCCCCATGGGGCCACCTCTCCCCTGGAGTGGAGTCTCCTACCTCCTGAGGCTCCAGCTTAGACTGATTAGGGTTGCTGAGACCCCAACCCCTCCCCTTGACCCTCCATTCTCCACTGACACTTTGGCATTCCTCTGCCCCTCTGTGCTCCATTGCTTTCACCTAAAACTTTCTAGGCTGGCACCCAGTCCTCCGGGCTAAAAAGCATGGGCCTCTGGGGACCAGCAAGGAGCTGGTGGGGGCTTCCATCACTTCTTCCTCCATGAACACCTGCTCCTGATAAACTGGTCCCAATCAAATGTCCCCTCCCGAGCACAGGGGACGCTCAGTTCACATCCACTTGGCCTGTGTAATGACACTCTTTCTGTATTTATTCCCATTTTGCTGCAGGGCCTAAGCATCCCACTGGACCAGCTCCCCATTAACCAGCTCTCCCCAGACACTGCTCCAAGCTTTCCTCCAAGGTTCTGGAGGTCTTCTTCACCCTGCCTTCAAAGACCAGCTCCTCCCCAAACAGAGAAGCCAGCTGCTAGCCTGCACTTCTCATGCCACCACAGCACAGGTGACAAGCTCTAATTTCAAACGTGCTGGCTATACTCTGAAACCCACATGAGTGTTGGGTTGCTATCTATGGCTCCTCTGCCTCCCTCAACTGACAGTATCTGCATAATTACTACAGAGCGATTGTCCATCTGCACAGCTTTTGATCAGACTAGGGAAGAAGGAGGTTTCTTGCCAGGTAACCAAGGAAGCCCGTGCTTGATCATGATAATTCAGGGTGGTGACAACAACTAAGAGCTGGATAACACTAAAAGATAACGAACAGGTATCAGGTGAAAGGAATGATGGGCAGGCTGTGTTAATAAAAGGGAGGACTTAATGATGGCCTTCCTGTCTCAGAGATGGCCACGTGGACAGCTCAGCCAACTCCCTGCTCCTCCTTCAATCACAGGTCCTGAAACTGCAACTGCTGAGATTTCCAGCAGAGGCCACCAGCACAGAAATGGCATGGCCCACGCCTGGCGAGGAGAAGAGCAGTGACTCACGGCAGGTGCTGTGGTCCATCCAGCCGTAGAGCACTATCCCTTCCTGGGCGCAGGTCCGGGCATACTCCAACAGGGCAGGGCACACGCACGCCAGCCCCTGAGTGCAACTGCACAGACTCATCTCACACAGGGCCACGAAGGGCTCAGGGTTCACCAATGGATGGCAGCGGGCAAACACGGAGGCGCTCTTCAGCAACTGGCACTGCTCCCACAGGGCCTGCAGGGAGAGGGCACTTCAGTGAGGCCCACAGAGGGCCCTGGCCGCTGCCCCGCATTCACTCACTGCCTCCCTAAAGAAGTCGTCTGGGAGACTTAGTCCTGCTAGAAAAACCAAATGTGTCCTTTCAGAACCAGAGACAGTGTCTGACCCCCGGTGGGTACTTATCAAATGTGTGTCAAACCAGTCAGTCCATCAGTGCCCAAAAAAGCAGGCACATGTGCTGGGTGAGGTAGACCAAGTATAAGGTGGCATCCCAGACTCCCATACTGATGTGCGGAGTCTGAGGCTCCTGGGCTGCTATTGCAGGGCAATCCCTATTTGAGAGTAAAGGAGAGAAAAGAAGACAGAAACAGAGAGTTAAGTAACACTGGTCAGCATCTGTTCTGCACTGACCTGGCTTTGACCTTGACCTTGACCTTCTTCACTGTAAATGAGGGATGGCACAGGGGGCTTGGTACAACAGAGATTCCTGGGCCACACCCCTAGAGATCTGAAGTCAGTGGGGTAGGGATGGGGTTCAGGAATCTGTTTTCTCAAACACTCCCCAGGTGGTTGCTGGGACCAGACAGGGCCGGTTCCCATCAGCAGCAACGCGCTGGGATTCTATGAAATGTCCCCAGTGCACCATGCTAAGCAAGGGCTATTCTGGGATTTTTCCTTTTGTTGACACCTTCAACGAATAACACAAGGCAGGTTTGGAATCATCAGCCACTTCTTCTGTAGTTCATTTGTATAAACACTCTTACATGTTTTCTTATAAACATCTCAACAGTGTATGTTTTAGTTACTCCGAATGCCCTTTCTTTTAACACAGTCCAGCATCCTGAAGTTGAAGTACGTCTTACCGTGGTAGCATGTGTTACTTAACAGGTAGTGTGTCTCTCTTTCCTAGTGATGCATGGTTCAACAATGTGCATTAGAATCAGTGATGTCTTACATTTGACACATCACAAAATTATCCATATAAATGATCACATAATTTCAAGTACCAATATCATTTCTGTCACACATACACATGCTCCTGCCAGAAAGCAGCAGTTAGTGAAAGAACTCACTACCTACGGCTGAAAAATAAAGTACAAGTGTCTAAGTGAAAGCACGAGCCCAGAAGGTTAAAACTCAGCCAATCAGTGTTAGTAAAACAGATAAGAAAATGAGGGATAAGGGGTCCCACTTTGGAAACTAGGGGTAGAGCTTAATCATAGAGCACTCCCCTGGACAGTTGAAGGGCCTACGTTTCATCCCCAGTACCAGAAACAAAAAATATCAGTTTTGAGGAAAGGGAAATCTAGTCTGTTTAAATATACCAAGGACCACAAGAGCAAGCCATGTAAGCCAGGAGCCAGGAGCCAGACCTACGGGCCTCTTCATATGGCACTTGAGGAGCCAGGAGAAACGGGAATTTGACCTGGCCTGCTCACGCTCCTCAGGATCCACCTGAGCCACACTGGAGATATTCGGTGACCCTAGCAAAATCCATGTCCTTCCCACAGCATCCCTGCCAAGGTCCTGATCCTCAGCTGGCCTGCAGACAGTCTGCATCAGGACAGGCAAGCAGGGAAGAATGTCACCACTGCAGGCTGACCACATCAAGCTCTGGGCCACCCAGTGGAGAGGTGCAGGGTGCATCTCTGGTTCTCTCTGTCCCTAGAGAGCCTGCACTGCAAACCTGCAGTAGGCAGACTCCAGGGAGCATGACAGACAGCCTCACTCACCCCTACCACCTTTCTAACTTCCTCCAATTGGGTCTGCGTCTGTGGCTGTCAAAGAGCATAAGCTGAGAGCCCAGCTCTGCCACTCACTGGAGGTGGGGACTTGAGCTACTTAGTTCCCCTCCTGGAGAGGGGTGTCTTCAAGCAAAAAGGGAGGCACAGCCATACTGATACCATTCCCAGATTTGCGTGAAGATGACACAGTGCCTGGCACTAAGTAGGCCATCAATGAATGAAAGTCACTTAGGTCTCCAAAGGTCACATGTCCTTCTGTTTGTTACCATTAGGTTTTTCCTCCAAAATGGTGAGCAGCTCCTTAGAAGAGCAGAAGGACACCTTGGCCCCTTTTCCCCATCTGCATTTCCCTGGGCTGTACTGAGAAGGATGGTTGCCATGGTGATATTAGCACTGTGCTAGGATCTTGGGTTCTCCATGATGAGTAAGTAGCAGACCTGCTTTAGTTCATTATTTATTTAAGATATTCATGTCCCTCTAAGACAAAGCAGCAGGGAGAGAACTTCTCTTTGGTGTAGTAGGAAGATGCAAGAGTTTCTGTCCTCCCCAGCAAGTGGAGACTCAGGGAAGGAGGCTGAGACCTGGCTGTTTCCGTCCAGTCTTCCATATTGCCAGGCTACCACCATGCCACCTAGGAAATGAGGTCACTAGACTCTCAAAAAGCAGCTGAGGGTGTCCCAGAGGAGGCCAGCTGCTCAGCCCCTTGCCTGTCTCTTTTTCCACTCAAGAGTTAGGACTCCAGAAAAACTCAAAAAAGGCATGCTGTTTTTCTTGGAGTTGTCGCCATTTCCAGAGCTATAAGACAGTGACTCAGGACAGTACCTGAATCACAGGACCAGCTCCGGCCAGCATGGGGACTGGGAACTAGAGGTTCTTCTTTCAAACTACCCCAAAAACCAGGCCCCCTCCTTGCCCACAGCCCACACCAGGCAGAAGAACCTTGGCCCATCTCCAGCTGGCCCAGAGTAGTCTTTTTCCAGCTCAGAGAGACAACAGGAACAACACATTTCCCGGGAGTCCTCTGAGCTATTAAATGGTTTGTAGAAAAATTTTAACAAGAAGGGTGTTTTCTGAGTATTTGCCTGCAGGATGGAAGTGATTTCTGCAAAAACAGCCACCTCCCTTCTTAGAATAATCCCTTTGTCTCTGGCACACAAGCCTGAAATCTGCTAGGATTTCTCTCTCAACAGAAACAAGCAGAAGTCTGCCCTTACTTTGTCTTCCAGACTTCCTGTGGTCAGTCCCGGCCTGAACTTGGTCCACAGGAGTGACCACAGTGTGAGAGCAGAGCAAGCATTTCAGGTATCTGCAGCTGCACCACAGTGACAAACAACTTGCTGCCTCTGCCATTCCTGGGCTTCTCTGCCCCTGGTATCTCTACTTTTGTACTAAAATCACCTATTTTTGCTGCCATTTCCCTGTAAGTTTTTCAAAGATGAGAGCTGTATCCCCAAGGCACATATAGCGGTCAATAAGGAAGCAATGGGTCCGACCTCAAAGTAATGAACACAACCATCTGCTGTATTCTCCAGCCCAGAAGGGGTTTTAGTTCCCTGAACTAGATGTTTCCATAGCACTATTTACACACAGCCTGAAGATTTGATTCCAGTTTAGGAATCTTCCCAGTGGTACAGTCCACCACAGCCAGCTGCCGCCTACCTCCAAGATGCCAGGAAGGTTTCCCCAAAAGGAGGCCTGGGGTGGGATCTAGGACTTAGACACAGAAGGGAGAGAAGGTCAGGGAAAGCCAATGTCACAGCTTCAGGTGCGCAGAGAAGCAGACAGATTATGGCTAAACCCTGAGAATCCAGGCCAGGGCTGCCAAAGTCTTCCTTCTGAACATTGATCTGCTAAGCTAATGGCCTCAGCTTCTCTCAGCACAGAGTTACAGTAGCCAGCTTACTCCAAATCTAACCAAGCTCACTGTGAATAAGTGCATATCCTCTGCCTGTGCCCAACCCCGCAGACCCTCCCAGGAGTCCCTGGTGAAAAATTCATAACTGCCTTTCCCATTCATTCGAGTTACTTGCTCCTCTTGAGAACTTGCTGAGCACTAAGTTGGTCACTTTATGCAGGCTATCCATGACTTAGTGCTGTGGTCTGGACAAGATATGAGAACCTCAGCCCTTTTCTATCTCTGTTTTTGGCCACCTTGAGGTGAACAGGCCCTGTCTGTCACCTGCTCCTGCTAGGGTGCACTGTGCTGCCACAGACTCAAATTGACAAGTCAAGCTAAAAACAGCCTCATTCTTCTACCTAGAACGTTTTGGTTCTGGAATATAGAGTTATTTTATTAAGATATGTTATTTGTGAGCTACATGTGGTGTACGCATATAATCCCCGCACATGGGAGGTTAGGATAGTCCTGAGTTCAAGGTCAGCCTGGAATACATAGAGACCCTGTCTAAAAAGGAAAGAAAGAAAGAAAGAAAGAAAGAAAGAAAGAAAGAAAGAAAGAAGAAAGTAGTTTGTGTTAAATATAATGGGTTTATTATCTTTAAAAATAAATGAATTCATAACTATATAGTACAGTAAATACCAAGACTAAATACCAAGAGATGTAACTAAATAAACAAAATCTCTTTGGAGTCTTTAATAATTTTTAAGAATAAGAAAGGGTCCTGAGACTGCGCAGTTTGAGAACCATGGCAGCAGTAAAGGGTTGATCAAGCTGAGGCCTGATCTCACTCCATGACCTTGTTGTTACCAAATTACCAAGTAGAGTCAGCCCTGTGTCACCAAAGTTTGCAACTCAAGATTCAACCAACTGAAGACTAAAAGTATTGAGGGGAAAACTGGCTCTGTACTGAATATGTGCAGGTCCTTTATTCTATAATTGTTCCCTAAACAATGCAGTATAATAATTACCTACAGAGCTTTCACTTTCCATTATTTATCCTAAGTAATCCAGAGATGATTTAAATTGTGTAAGAGAAAGTAGCTGTCATTCTATATGAGACTGAGCGTCCGTGGATTTGGGTATTAGCAGGGCCCAGAAGCCACCTCAACAGATACTGACGGACAGCTGCACCGGGGTTTCCACCCACTCACATCCCATTTCCCAGGAATCACATTAGAAAACTACACTGCACACTCCGTACAGGTCAGGCTGTAGAAGCACAGTTACACTAGATCCCAACCCCATCACCTCTCCAGGGTGTGACTTTAAGAAAATCATCTTGCTCTTCCTCACCTGTAAAAGAGCTATGGTGTATGGAAGTGATAAAAGTCTTCTCTCCTTCCTTAGTCACAGGGCTTTCAGTTTTCAAC